ACCACCATTGCCAGGTAATAATAATATCACAATAGTTATAATAGTAGTTGGAACTTTGTTCAGAACTTATTGTTTTCAGATCTATGTGTTAATGTGCAATTGAGTAAATAAGACACAATAATTGTGGTTACACCTTCAAGGCCAAGGTTATTCAGCTAAGCCTAAGCTGCTTATCGGGTGTCCATCAAACCGTATCGAAGTGACCATGATCTGAACATTCTCTCTCTCTCTCTCTCTCTTTTCTATTCATTTTCTTTCCTTTTTCATAATTTTCGTCACTGATGTTTACTTTATTCATCGAACTACCTTAGAATTTTGAACATTTTTTCTACTTTCGATTGTTTTTTTCTATTCGAAAAAGTTGTGTTCGATTCAGAACTTTTTTCTTCTTTTCTACCATTATTATTTCCCTTTCTCATCGAAAGTTTCGTCTCATTTTTAATCTGATAATCTATTAGCTTGATATACGTGCTAATCCGATTAAAATCCATTAATTGTTGAGATTTTTCCGGTAACCTGACAACGTGACTCTCTTCCGCTTCGTATGATTGTAATAACTTTTTTTTTCTTACCTAAAGTTAATTGTTGTTGATTCATCAGCAGTTATACTTATTATTATTACATTAGTCTTAAATTATATCAACTAATAGACAATTACAATTACTATTAAATATCATCATCATCATTTATGCACTTTGAATTGTTGATGATTTAATTTGTTTACCCTGCAACACAATCAAGGTTAATTCATTATAATGATAAAGATGAGTACAATTAACTTTAACATTATCTAATCAATTGTAAACAATTAAAAAGATAAAGTTGATTATTTTTGAGAGTGAATCTTTTTCACAATAATATCACTATTCATTCAATGAATATGTACTCAAGGGTGTGGATTAAGATGAGAGTGATTTAAAGCTCAGCAAATCTAATTATAGCTCAAAGATATAATCATGATACCTCATGATATTCAATCTTTCATGATGATTCAGTTAAATCACCAAGAAATTGTTTTTCTTTTCTTCCTCAATAAAAAAAAATACACTCATCGTTTTGTCAACATCCATCAAAGTGTAAACTCTGTGAACAACAATCAACATTAAATTATATTAATAACGGTAAAAATCATTAACATGATGAAATTTTGAAACTTTTACGAGTTTTTTTTTCTCATATCACTGAATCATTAACTCGGTTCTCAATCAAATTTAAAGGGAAATTGTATCATTAAGGATTAGCAACAATTTCGCTCATCGTCTTATCCCTAATTGTTTGGAGCTCATTGAATGGATTAGGATTATATTAGAAATTGTGATTATCGAACTCCCGATTTGATTAGTTAAAATTGTTGATTCATTTTGGTTGAATTTTCTATTTTTTTTTCTCGGACTTTGTATCAACTATCATTTGCCCCGGAAGGTTATCATTTCCTCATCCTGATCATTTTCATCTTCCTCTTTTTTTACAACCTAATAATTAGCTTTTCATTAATGAATATTATCAAGGGTGTGGTCACTTTCATTCAAGCTTCATCTCTTATTGTTTCATCTTCATTGATCCTTTTACCTGTTTTATATTATCATCAACCTACAATTAACTTGATTAATTTTTCTCGTGTCTATGTCCTATTACCTTGAGGTTGATCATTCGTTTCACATTGAACATTTCGAGGAGAGAGATTAAGGTTAATGTAAATCGATGGGAGATAATATTGATTAGTTGATTGATGAGAATTGCGAGATAATTTAAATTGTTGAGAGCTAAATTGTTACCAAATTACTTTACATTGACTCTAATGAATTAACTTTATAATGACAATTGGGATTACAAAGTTTTCCAATTTGAAATTAATGTAGACAAATTTATGATCAATTGTGTGTGTTGGTCTTTGTTAAGAATCTAATTAAATCTTTAATTATTACCATTCTTTTAATAATTAACGTTGATTACACTGATCGACATTCATATATTAATGATTAAAATTAATTCTGATCACGATTTTCAATGATTATAATTGTTAATTGTTTATATATGTATTAACCAACTCAAGTGGACAACAATCAAACCAACCATTCATTTTATTTACTAATGACAACAGCAATTGTTTAATTGTGATGATTAAGATTATTAAATATGATGAATTCACTTTGGTGTTAATTTGATACAAACAATTAACCTTCCAGCTACTATTACCAACATTACGCAGTTAATTGTTGCTCTTGCTAGTTAACTAATTTAGTAAGAAAATTATACAACCCGAATGGATTAATATTGTTACAACAATCAAAAAAAGTGAATTAAAAAATAATCGGAGCGTCTCTTTAATCATCATCATCTTAATCATTAACATCATCATCATTAAAAATGATAGACATTCAAAAGTATTATCTAACAATTGACCTCAATCCTTAAATCGCAATCAATAAATTGTTACCTTGATATTGTTAACTGTTAACAACAATCAGAAACAAAAAAGGTGGACAATTAATCAAAAACTGACCTAATCAACATGTAATCCAGATGAAGATGAGTTTGCTTTGAAACCAGCAATTAGTTAATCATCTGAATAAATCGTGATAGAAACTTGGATCCTTACAATTAATTAATTGTAATGTAACCAAAAATAATGATTATCGTAAATGATTACGAGTAACAATTAAGGTTTACAGTTTTGTCTTGGGAAAAAGTTTCATGAAAATGAAAGTTAATCAACAAATTGAATCTCAATCAAAAACCTCAACAATTAAAATTGACGCTAATTAAAAATTTAGGAAACTTTTTTTTTCTTTTAATTCATTTCAACAATTAAACCACAATTAAGAAAAAAAAAACAATCTTATTAATCAAATAATTGACCTAATTTTAGGCCTGTTTTTTTGCCGCTCATGTTGAAACTGTTAATTGTTGATTAATTGTCGTACCTATTTAATGGTGTTTAATAGTAATTGTTTAATTTCTGGACTCAATTGCTGTTTGTTGATTAATATTATTTACTAAATTGTTGACTTTTGATTGTTCTTGTTGCTGTTGTTGTTTTTTTTTCATTTCCATCTATTTGTAGACCATTAATTTAATCACTTTACATTAAATTTGGTTGGTTGATTGTTGAACAACTAATTTCATATAAATGTAACAATTTGAATCCATTGGAACTTGAATATTAACCAACAATCAACAGCAATTAGTTGATCGTCGTTTAAGGTTAAGGTCATCATTATATCAAAATCTAATCTAAATCAACTATTATTAATCTAAGCCAATTGTTATCCTGTTAAATATAATCAAACATTTGATGTTAACAATCAACGAAAAAAAAACTCAGATGATAATTAAACTGCAACAATCAATTGATTGATTGTGTTGATCCATCAACTGATTAAGTTTACCAAGTTAATCATCATTTAGCTTTGAAAACATTATTATTAATATTAATAAATTGTCAAGGTAAGTTCAAGGTGAATCAATAATTTAAACAAAATCATCAATTTATTGATCTAATTGTTACAATTAACTTGCGATTAAATTTTCAATGGACAAACATTTTCCTAATCATATTGGATTAACTTTTAATTGTATCAAATACATTTACTTTATTTACCAACCTGATTGTTAAAAGAAATCAAGTTAATCATATTGAAATTTTAATTGTTAATATAATAATATACAAATCAAACTGTCACAACTGAATTAATAAAGTTTGTTAGCTTCCGGAATTGTAAGTTAATTGTTATGTTAATCAAGATTCTGAGAAATAAGGAAATTCATTAATAATTTAGTTGTATATTTTATTGAATTGTGAATAAGAATTGATTTTAATTGAAATTGATTCTCGAAATTGATTAATAACAAACGAAATGATTAATAAACACGATCAATTAACTGATGATGATCACGATTACAATTGATGATTACGAATTGGAAATTAAATTTCTTTATCACAATTGGAAATAATTTCAATTTAAATTAGTTTTTTCTCCTCTTATATATCGTATATATTATTAGCACTATCATCAAGTTGATCATCATCTTAATCACTGACAGAGCATTTCAACATGATGATAACCATGATTAAGATGATTAACTTTTCATTTGAAATACAAACGAAACTACAACAATAACTTTCAATTCTGATTCTTGAACTTTTATCATGAATCTTGATGATAATAATAGTATCTTGATGGTCTCATTAAGGTCAGTTTATCAGTGGACACAACAATAACACCTCATCCATCTTATCATCATCATCATCAATTGTTGATCATCATCATAATAATGATAAACAATTTACAGTTAATGATGAAAATGATTGTGTAAAAAAAGTAAACCTTTTTGATCAAACAAACTGTCTCATCAACACGATAACTGTGATTAAATTTGATTGTTACAATTGTTGTCATGCTAATTGTGTGCTGTGTATACTTATTGCTGATATAATATTTTGTCTCAATGATTAATATTAATTTACTTGATTACACACATGATTAATTTGTTTTCTTACAGTTCCATCAAATTGTCCATTCATTTGATTGTTGTTGTGACACTTAATTTGATTACAATTGTTCAACTCTCTCTGTTGGCTAATTTTGTCATATCGTATATGTTATTAGGCCATTGGTCATCATTTTCTTGACCGATTGTCCCTTGAATTGGGTCAGATAATTGTATCTAAATATAAACATAATATATAAGTGAAAATTGGATAATCTTTTTTGAAGTAATTTACTTGATTATCTTTCTGATGATTAACATCAAGATTCGGTTAATTATTAAATCACAATCTATTGCGAGTAAGTCACAAAAACGAAACGTGAATTTATCATTGAATTAAATTGTTTTCGAGAAGATAAAATTATCATTCTGATAATTGTGAACACGTTTCATGTTAATGGTGACATAGATCACGATTTAAATTGTTACCTGGTTAATGTCCATTTCTGTTGATGGACAATTGAGTTAATTGAATAAATGGAAATGGTTTTTTTTTGTTTCAATGTTAATTTGAGTTTTTTAGTGATTCGTTTATTCAACCAATCATGTTAATTGTTTTTCACATGGAAAGATATTTGTCAAAAAAAATTAGATCACCATGAAATTAAGGTTAATCGATTAGATTAGTTTGAGCTGACTGAAGCGCTGTTTGAAGCTCCATTGGCGTAACCAGCGTTGTAGCCTGAGTTAGCGTATCGGCTTTGGTCATTATCGTAGTTGAAACCTCCTCGGGCTGAGTTTGAGTTGTCATAACCTGAGTTTTGTGAGTTATTGGCATCGTATTGGTTTCCACTTGATGAGGATGAACCAGAAATACCTCCGGGACCAGCTTGGAATTGGTTTTGTTGTTGGTTGGCTGAGGCATGAACTCCGGAAGATGAGTTATCGTAACCTGAGTTTCGTGAGTTGGTATCAAAGTAACCTTGTCCTGATGATCGAGCTTGTTCACCGGCGTTTTGGTAACCAGCAACGTTTCCTGATTGGTATTGACTTGAACTGGCTTGAGCTTGTGATCGGGCAGCAGCAGCGGCTTCAGCTTGAGCTCGGGCTTCAGATTCAGATCGGGCTTGAGCTTGAGCTTGGGCTTGGGCTTCAGCTTGGGCTCGGGCTTGAGCGTCAGATCGGGCTTGAGCTTCGGCTTCAGCTTGGGCTCGGGCTTGGGATTCAGCTCGGGCTCGGGCTTCAGCTTCAGCTTGGGCTCGGGCTTGGGATTCAGCTCGGGCTCGGGCTTCAGCTTCAGCTTGGGCTCGGGCTTGGGATTCGGCTTGAGCTCGGGCTTGGGATTCAGCTTGGGCTCGGGCTTGGGATTCAGCTTGGGCTCGGGCTTGGGATTCAGCTTGGGCTCGGGCTTGGGATTCAGCTTGGGCTCGGGCTTGAGCGTCAGATCAGGCTTGAGCTTCAGCTTGGGCTCAGCTTGGGCTCGGGCTTGAGCTTCAGCTTGGGCTCGGGCTTCAGCTTCAGCTTGGGCTCAGGCTTGGGTTCAGCTCAGGCTCGGGCTTCAGCTTCAGCTTGGGCTCAGGCTTGGGTTCAGCTTGGGCTCAGGCAGGCTTCAGCTTGGGCTCGGGCTTGATTCAGCTCAGGCTCAGGCTTGGGATTCAGCTGGGCTCGGGCTTGGGATTCAGCCTGGGCTCGGGCTTGAGCGTCAGATCAGGCTTGAGCTTCAGCTTGGGCTCAGCTTGGGCTCAGGCTTGAGCTTCAGCTTGGGCTCGGGCTTGATTCAGCTTGGGCTCAGGCTTGGGATTCAGCTCAGGCTCGGGCTTCAGCTTCAGCTTGGGCTCAGGCAGGCTTCAGCTTGGGCTCAGGCAGGCTTCAGCTTGAGCTCGGGCTTGGGATTCAGCTTGGGCTCGGGCTTGGGATTCAGCTTGGGCTCGGGCTTGGGATTCAGCTCGGGCTCGGGCTTGGGATTCAGCTTGGGCTCGGGCTTGGGCTTCAGCTTGGGCTCGGGCTTGGGATTCAGCTTGGGCTCGGGCTTGGGATTCAGCTTGGGCTCGGGCTTAGGCTTCAGCTTGGGCTCGAGCTTGAGCTCAGGCTTGTTCTCGAGCTTGGGATTCAGATCGGGCTTGAGCTTCAGCTTGGGCTCAGGCAGGCTTCAGCTTGGGCTCGGGCTTGGGATTCAGCTTGGGCTCGGGCTTGAGCTTCAGCTTGGGCTCGGGCTTGGGATTCAGCTTGGGCTCGGGCTTGGGATTCAGCTTGGGCTCGAGCTTGAGCTCGGGCTTGTTCTCGAGCTTGGGATTCAGATCGGGCTCGGGCTTGGGATTCAGCATAAGCTCGGGCTTGTTCTTGTGAAGATCGTTGTTGATTCAATGAAGAAGTGAGACCAGAAACGGTGTTAGAAACGCCTGATGACATACCACGGACAGATGAAGCAGCGTTAGAAGCGGCACTAGCAGCAGAGTTGAAGGCACCAGAAGCAGTTCCTTGGAGTGAAGAGGCAGCATTTGAAGCGGCTGAAAGAGCACCATTACCATAGTTTTGGAATGAACTTGCAGCATTTGAAGCAGCAGAAGAGGCGAATTGAGAAGCAGAGTTAAGCTTAGATCCAACTAAACCACCTACAGATCCCATAGCACCTCGAACGGTACTAGTGATACCATCGAGTCCAAGACCTCCTGATCCACCATTACCACCAATAAGACCACCAGTAAGTCCACCGAGTCCATTGAGGAGACCACCTGATCCACCAGCACCACCAGTAAGACCACCAGTAATACCACCAATTTTACTTGTAATACCACCAATAGCACCATCAAGAAGACCTCCTCCTGATCCACCACCAGTAATACCACCGAGAAGACCACCGGCTCCACCTCCACCGGTAATACCACCGAGGAGACCACCTGATCCACCACCACCTAGAACACCACCAAGAAGACCACCACCTGATCCACCACCACCACAGAAGAGTGGGGAAGCTAAAAAGAAAACACCAAATTAAAACAACGATCGAACCTAAAAAAAGCACCAAAGTTAAATCACTTACCTGAGGCCATGAAAGCGTAAGAGAGGACACAAGTTACAACGAAAACTTTCATTTTAATTTCTTTTGGACTAATTATCAATATCGATTTAGTTTTTTTTCTATTTATTTCTAAATTGCTACTTGTCTAATCAAGAGCAAAATCGATGATGATCAGTTTCCAAATCGAAATCAACTCTTTTATATAAAATTAATTTCCACAGGTGATTAATCTGTGGCAATTTAATCTCATCCCGATTGATTAAGATTAATACCTTTGTTTACTTCGTACAATTGAAACAATATGAAACAATTGATTGGTATACGTAATTACATTTAACGGCTGAAAATTCATTTCCGTCATTGATTAGCAATTAAGGTACCAAGAGTAATTAATAATCGTCAAAATATCACATTTGATCAGTTAATTATTATTGATGTATTGATTATCAAGAGTAAAATCAATAACTACGATCAATTGATTGTTGATGATCAACTTTCACCTTAATTTTACTCTGTCCATTTATTTGTCAATCACTTTGATCAGTAATCAACTCATTGCAATTAAATCAATTTAACTATTTTTACTATGAAATAATTACTACTTAATTAAAGGACAATTTAAATAGTACAATTATCTTATTGATTGTTCATTAATCAAACAAACTGTTGGTAATTGTTATTTGTTTGCATTTCCACAATCAACACAATATGAAAACTTTGTAATCCATGTTGATTGTTAGACTAATTAACTGATTGATCATGATTTGAGTGTGTGTGTTTGATTGGGAAGCTCATTAATCATCAACAATCAAGATGTAATATTATCAAAAAATTGATCAACAATAATTCAACTCTTTTAAAATGGTAACAATCAAAGTGACAATCTAAATATTTAAGACTGATGATTAACTAATCATAATAACAATGGTAAACAGCAGAGGTTTAAATTGTTAACCTGTAAACGAAAGTAATTAAATTAAATTGATTGATAAATTGTTGATAATTTTAATAACTACTTTGAGGTAACATCGCAAATGATTATAATTGATTACGATAAGATTTTGATTGTTAGAAATGATATTCAAATATGATTAAAAAGAGAATGGAATTGATTTAATAATCAGAGCATGTTAATTGTAATCAAAGTATAAATTGTCAAGATAATTATTATAAAATCAACAATAAAAAGCGACAATTTAAGATAATACATAATCGAAATGCGAAAGAAAAAAAAAGTTTTTCAAAACTTTTCGAGCGGTAATTTTGTCCTAAGAAAATGATAATGATGATGATGATGATGATGAAATCTTTTATCATTATCATCATTTTATCATCCTCATCATCATTGATGATTTAAACAGAACAACAATTTAATCATGGTTTGATAAATAACAACTGAATTAACTTCTTCCTTCCTTTTTCCGTTGAAAAAAAGTTCAACGATGCAAATCAACAAGTTCAGTCGATTGTCAATGTTGAATCGTTTTTAATTCACTTCTGTCTTCACAATTTAGCTTAATTTTTTTCTCTTCATATTATTTTTCTTACAACAATTTAATAGCAGTTAAATTAAATGATCACTATCGATGCATGTTAATTGTAACAACAACAACCGTTAGGAAAAACTAATTGTTACTAAAAGCAAAGTTTTAAAAATGAAAACACAAAAAGCTAATCATCAACAAGACATCAAGTGAATTAAAAAAATCAAATGATTACAATGATTGAGGTAAATTGTTATTGTGGTGATTAAGATGATTAAGACAACCATGAAAATTTAACAGTTTTATCATGATAAATGGTGTTAATTGTTGTTGTATTTTCATAGAGCTTAAAGTTAATTGTTAAGATTTACCTTCAAGCCTTAATAACAACACACTCACAACAATTAATCATTGGTTGTAGCCAAGAGTTAATTGTGAAATATTAAATATATCAAACTTATCATTAAGACGGAAGTTGATAGTTAACTGATTGTCAATTGTGATTGTTAAATTGTTCACTACTTGTATTGAGAAAATGTTTCAAGTTAATTGTTAATCTGAAAGGAAAAACATTTAAAACAATTAAGATAATTAAATGGTCGTCGTGTATTGATAAACATGTTGATTATCATGTTTGATACAACGATGCAAATTCAATCAACAATCAATAATAAAAATCAATTGATTTCATCAACAAAAAAAAACAATTACCAATCATTACAAGTTCAATTTAAATTGTAGTTAATCAATTGTAAATTATTGGTCTTTTTTTTACTTTGATTATTATTCAATTTGATGGTTAATATTAATTGTCATCTCTCATTGGTAATCATTCAAGTATTAGATGGTCAAGATTATGTATACAATACATAATAACAATAACTCTTGACCATTACCTGGACAATCAATGGATTAGATTGGCTGTCATTTTCATGGTAACAGTTAATTTAGTTAAATTGTTGGTAACAATTGATAAATTGCTGCCGATATAATTGTAACAGGGTTGGCAAAAAAAAAGGTCACAACTTTTATCCTCACAATCAATGGTGCAAATCATTTTTAAGGCCTAATCAGTTAAATTGTTATTGATTTAAATGAGGTCAAAATGATAATTATTGTTTACAATTAACTGTTATTGTCGATGATGATTATGATTATCATGATGATGTTATTACCTTTCAATTTCAGTAATCAGTTAATTGTGAAAAACTGTTTAACTTGATTAACTTTTTTTTATCCTCATCCAATTTTAAAGGGTAAATGAAATAATAATATTTCATTAACGTTAAATTTTAATTAGGTATAATTTATGTATGACAATTAACTTTTACTTGGTTAATTGATTGTGCTTTCACACTTGCATCAATTAATTTAAATAAAAAATTTTCACAATCAGTTAATTGTTCAAATTGAATTTGGTCAATTATGTGTTTAGTTTTAAAAGTTATTAATAGATGGAGATGTTTTAAAATTAATCTTAATTGTTTGAGATTTGATTTTTTTCTTGAACTCTTTAAGTTTAATTAATTAAGTTAATTACCATTAATCACCTGTTTTCATTTAAATCAATTAATTACCAGGTGTGATTATTAATTGATTGATTTGATTTACGATAATAAATAAGACAATTGATATTAGAATAATTTTCAAGGAAAAAAAAAAGTTTATCTGGGTCAAGATACTAATCAAAATCATCTATTACATTGTTACAATTAATTGATGATTGTTGATTGTTGTAAAAATACAATATCATCATTATATCATCACAATTTAATGGTAAATTGTTGTGGTAACAATTTAATTTGATTTGATTTTCAATTCTTGAAAAGAAGAAAGTTTTTTATTATTGTTCAATGAATCCTTTGGATTTCAAAATAAGATTATGATTATGATGATGATGATTAATCATGATGATGATTAGTTGATTATCTTTATGATTTTCATACTGATTAATTGAGTTAAACTTTTTTTTCCTCTCGTTGATCACAATTAACTTAACCAACCATTAAATCCTGAGTAAATAATTTAAATTTTGGTTAACCAACACAACAGTGAGATAGTGACTTAAATCAATTCAAGCACAATTAACTGATTGTGCTTGAATTAACTTTCAATACTTACTATTGATAATACAGTTAATCCAATTGTTGATGAAGCCATTTTTTTTAATCATAACAGTAACCTTACCAATCACAAGGGAACAACAATTTAAATATATAATCAAACGTGATGATCATTGATGATGATTATTGATTAACTTTAAATCAACTTTTTGATTGTTGATCCAATTGATTCAATGTTTGGGAAAAAGTTTCATGATTAATTGATTATCATTTTAATTGTTTCTATTTCTATCTCTATCTCTCTCTCTCTCTCTCTCTCATTCTCAGTCTTTGGAACAAGAAAAACATGGATTAAGACGTAAATTGGATAATCTTGAAGGTGAATATGAAGGAAGGGTCAGCGAATATCAATCTGACCTGACGACCTTAAAGAAAGAGTTAGCTGACCAACAGAATACATTAAAACAATACGAACGTGAAAAAGGTAAAATGGTTCAAGAATTAATGGAACAGAATCACAGATTAACAACTGAATTAAAGCAGGTAAGTTTCAACAATTAATCGAATCATCAATCAATTAATATGAGAATGACCCATTTCCATAAATAAATTGGACTCAAACTGGACACTGAAAGATAATCATACAAACTTATTCTTGACTCGAAAAACTTTCAAATGTTCAACGATCTTGATTCTTAATTTAGTATTAAATTATTTTGATGATAATAATTTAATCGATAATTGGGATTAGTTAATTGGAAATAATTAGTTTCACTATCAAATCGTGTTACTTAATCAATGGAAACTTAATTATCATCAGTAAATTTACCTTAAAGGTTTGATAAACATTATTAGTTTTTAGATCACAATTAATAACTATTGAAGGTTGATTAAAGGTGTATGAAGATTAATCAAGAAAAAAAAAGTTCTGATCAAAAGTATCCACCAATTAACTTAGGATATTAAACAACAACAATTAACTTAAATTGTTGTTGATTATGAAAAAGTGAAAATATAATAATAACTATCAGATATCCATCGATTATAATACTTTAACAACATTGACAATTAACTAATCATTTGACATTTAACTTTACTGTACATTGAAAGAGACAATATTTCATCATCATTAGATAGTCACAATTAACTAATTACAATTTACCTTGAGCTATTGGATAGTAAATGTTACTTATTGGATGAAGATGATTATTGATCAATTTAAAGTTGATTGGTCAAAGTTAATCGAATGAGAATTAGCCTGAGGCAATTTCGTCTCATTTAACCTTTTATCCTCTCATCATCTTAATCTCTATCATTAGTTAGTTAATTTTATCATCTTCGTCTTCATCTTCACAAGGTTGACCCATAATAAGAGAGAGAGAGAGAGACTAAAATTATCACCAAAAAAGGGAAAACTTTCTCTTCTCTCTCTCTCTCTCTCTCTCATTTATCTTCCTTACTTGTTATTCTAACCTTGATTATCTTCCTCTTCTCATCCTCATCCTCATCCAATCAATTGATTTAATTTTTTCATCTCTCTTCATCACCAATAATCATAACTCAATCACCTTCATCACTTGTTGATGTAACTTTGTGTTTCCATCCAATTCAAATACTTTTACCAAGAGAGAGGAAAAAAATTATGATCATCACTCTCATTTAATTACAATTAAACTAAAAGTGATCAGTGATTTACTAATTTACCAATTGTTTATTCATTTGTGTCTCAAAAGGCTTCAGAATCAGAGGAACAATTATCAAATCAATTACTATCATTACGGGAACAATTTAATGCTCGTCGATCCAATTTAAATGATCACGTCGCTCAAATGGAGGGATTAAGAGAAGAGGTAAGTTTAAATTTTGATAGAATTTCATTTTAATTATTAATCCCTTGCTAATTGGTTTCTCTCCCCTCTCTCCTTTATGATTAGATTAACTTACTTAGTAAGAGAAAAAGTGATTTAGAGAAGCGGATTAACGCTTTACACGAGGAAAGGGAACAGATTAGTTTAACTCTTGAAGAATCAGCTGAAAGGATTTTGATGCTGGAGAAAACTAATCAAGATCAAACGATAACAATTAGCAATTTACAGAAAGAATTGGAAGAGGCGAGAATTATGAACGATCAATTAGCCCATTCTGGTCATTTAATATCAACCACCTCACCTGGAACAACTGGTCATCCGATTAATGGTCATTCTAATGGTCAACCAACATCACTTTACAATGAGATTGAAATGTCTTCATCTTCATCAATTGAAGATGATCTTAAATCTAATCTTAATTGTGATGAAGATATTTGTGATTATTCAAAGGATCTTGACGAAAATTGGAAGGTAATTATACTAATAATATTTATTTTCCAACAATTTAACCTTAAAACGTTAATCTAATTGTTGATTTGATTGTTTAAAACTTCGTGGGTTCAAATGTATTGGGATATTTTTTCACTTTACTATTTCAATCAATGTAACGTAATCAACAAATTGTATTGGGTCAAGGTTTCAGTTTTTTTGTTGTTTTTGATTTAATTGATAACAATAAGAGAGGTAAAAAAATATTGATTAGCCAATTATGCCAATAGTGATTAACCGTTAGTACACTAATTAGATTTGATTTGATTACTTAATGATTGTTTTTATTTTTGTTATTATACGGGTAAAGTTTTTGATTATCTGGTTCAATTGGAGGTAATTAAATGTGTAACTTGATATGTCACAATTTAAATCAAGAGACTAATCTAGTTACCAATTGATAGTCTATCGATTTTGTCAATGATCATCGATTTCAAGTTGATCTTTCATTTGAAATGATTGAATTTGGTAAAAAACTTTTTTCGAAAACTTTTTCTTTGTTATTGATTTTGATTTAATTTCGTTTGGAATTTATCTCAATAGATTGGTCAAGAATTGTCTGAATTATATCATGAATTACGTCGTATGTGTCAAGATCTTCAACGTCGCCGTGAAAATAGTGGTCACTTTAATTCAACCGGCGATTCGGGAATCCCTGCAACACCCGAAGATATTAATTGTAACCACGTTAGACCGGGAATGATTTCCGCAGCATTTAAAGAGTACAAACAATTACTTGAAGAAATGGATGATTTGGTAAGTTAATTATAACTGAATCAATCAAAATCTCCAAATTGATTAACCTAAATTTCCTGGTGTTTATATTATTTGATTCACTATTTATTTCCCTCTCTCTCTATTCAGCCTTGTGTATCTTGTCAATCAATTGCCAGTGAAAGATTACAACTTGAAAAGATGACCAAAGAAGCGGTTGAAAAGGATGATGAGATTAAGAGGAAAAATGATGATCTGATGAAACTGGCCACTTCAATGACCATTCTTGAAACTGAATTAAAAGCCGTTAAAGAGGAAAGAGATTATCTTAAGGAATCGGTTGATAGTGATGGAATCGTTGGTAAAGATGAGCTTGTTAAAAGAGCTTGGGAGCTGAGGGATCAAGCGGTTGCCAGGAAAAACGCTGTCGAAATTGAATTGGCCAAAACCCGAATTGAGTGTATGCACATCAACAGTCAGTTGATGGAGGCAATTCAACAGAAAATCACTTTATCACAACAATTAGAACAGTGGCAGGTAAATTAAATCTTAATCATGATTTACCAAATTGTCTCAATCAACTAATCATGTTGATCGACATGATGATGAGTATCAATACTCATTATCATGATAATCAAATGAAAAGTTAATGTGACATTTTGAAAATTCACGGTCCAGGTCAATGATCAGTGACCTTTTTTTACCGATACGCAATTTCTGGCTACTTTTTTTTTTGCTGCCAATTTGTTATACATTTAAATATATTTACGATATTTTGATTGTTGCAACAATTAACTGATCACTTTTGTTTGTCTTAATTTTCTCAGGTCGATATGCAAAGTTTACTTGATGAACAATTGAAAAATAAACTTTCCAGCCAAGAGAAGGAGGAGAAACGCCGACAAGCCGAATCACGAAATTTAAGTCCAATTTCGGCCTCAACTCCAAGTCTTGTCAATAAAACTAAGCTACTTCGACTATTTAGAACGGCAAATTAACCAAAAACATCAACAATTAGTAAAACAATTTAAATTGACAATCAATACAATCGGTGGAGTCCCAAGTGTGTAAAAGGTTTTATTTAAATTCAATTCAGTGTAAACACTTTGTGATTGTTGTTCTTGATGACTGAACTTTAATTGTTGATTTTTTGACTAAAATCTAATCAACAATTAACTCAAAAGCCATACACCATCATGATGATTATCATTAACAACAATTTCACCTTAATTGTTATTGATTAATTGTTCGGATCAGCCCAACAATTACCTGCCGTCCAAATATTGGTTACAAAGCTTTAAACTGTGATAATAATTAAAGTAACCATTTGATTTTTGTCAAAGTTAATCAATTCAATTGATCAATACTTTGAATGGTCATCTTTTTAATTGTAATAATTAAGGCTCAGAACTGATTCTCTGACAAAATATCATGGTAATAATATCAACCAATTGTTACAATTAACTCTTGGCTCTCTCTCTCTGTTAACAATCATAGATGAGACTAATTAATTCATGATCGATGTTAATTGTTAATGAAAAAAACTTTTTTGTGCCTTCACATTTTTGTATCATCGTTAGTGATTAGTTAATTATCATTAATTGTACAATTATAATTTGTTTCCCATTCCCTAAATGAATATAATATTTTATCAGTCAATTTAATCATATTGATGATTAACTAATTGTCATCTTGTCCCCCCCTTGTGTATTTTAAATCATCAACAATTTATTAATCATCTTCATCAGAATCTTAGCCTTGATCCTGTTCCTAAAATGAATCATTTTAATTAATTTACTTTATTAAATCATCATTAATCATCATTTGAAAATAATTAATTGTAATTCAAATATTTTTGAATAAAGTAACAAGAAAAAAAGTTCACAATCAATTGTAATAATAACAATTAACTTTTAAATCACTTTGATTAGCCCAATTGTAACTTAATTGTTACCGTTTTAAAACGTTAATTATTGTAACTTGTAATTAAATTTTTCCATTGTAATTAAAATGATAAATATAATTAAATGAATTTCGAAAGTTTCGAAAAAATTAAATTCGAAAAGTTCTAACTTTTTTCTTCTTCTTTTAATTTAGTAAATCGATTGTTATTATTCAATTGTAACAATTTAAGTTATTAATTGTGATTACAAGCAACCGGATACTTATAAACAATCAACTGATTGTCAATGATTGAGCAAATGGTTAAAGTTGGTTAATTGTGGAAAAATAATTTAAGTTAATTGTTAATCTATGGTGAAGGATTTTTCTTGACAATAACAACCAAAGTGAAACAATTAGTTTTAATTGTTGGCTGTTTCTTAAAGAGTTAAATAGGAAGTATATTGAGGAAGAAAGTGATTAGCTAATGAGGTTTGGTTAATGTTAATTGTTGTTGCTGTCTGATTGTTAATTGATTGTATTCCAAGGCGCTTATCATGAGTTCGTTGGTGTTTCTTAAGGTGATCCTTACGTCCGAATCGCTTTGAGCAAACGGGACAAGAAAATGGCCTAATCCCGGTGTGGATCCGTCGATGTCGAGTCAACTCTTCATTTCGAGTAAAAGTTTTACCACAATTAGGATTATCACAGATAAATGGCCTCTCACCTAATCAACAATTAAAAGAAAAGTTTATAAAACAATTACCCATCGATCTGCATTCGTGAAAATTGTAACAATTAACTTTTCCTCTTAACAATAATTAACATCAATTCAGTTGCTAATCTACATTCTTGAATAAGATTTGTCGAAATTTTGGGTAAAGATTACGCTCAAGCTACAAGGATTCTATGAGAGGTTAAAGTATCAAAAAATTCAGCCAAAAATCCTACAAAACGGAAAAATAGTACGAACAGAATCTGAGTAGCCGTTCATGAGAAATTCTGACTCAAAGATTTTTATTTACGCATGCGCAGATAAGCTTTTTTACAGCGCGAATTTCAAAAAGAAAGAGATGAGAAAGAAAGAGACGAGAAAGAAAGAGACGAGAAAGAAAGAGACGAGAAAGAAAGAGACGAGAAAGAGAGAGGAGAGAAAACGAGAAAGAGAGAATGAAAAAGAAATTTAGTTTTGAATTTTTCGATTAAAAAACGATTCCCATCCCAATAAGCCACGGGTCTGGCAAACAACATTAACAAACTTTCGTAAGAAAGTTTGTGTCCGCTTGTTGTAATGATAACAATTTCATTAATATTTATCTAATCAATTAGCTCAATACAATTAGCTAATTGTAAAATTAGTTAAGCTTCATTGACTATCTGTTTTATTAGTTGTCTAAATTGTAAGTTAGTTTTTATTACTAAATTAGTTGTAACTTAATTTTCTGTTAATTGTTAAAGTGAATTAGTTAATTACTCACCTGTATGGGTCCTGATGTGGCCCTTTAATTGTCCGTTATTGGAAAAGGCAATTTGACAATGAGGACAACGGAAACGTTTTGGCTTTGATCGTTTTCCTTTGCACAATTTAGTTTGATTAATTAATTGTGAACTGATTGTTGATGATGAGGTTGTTATTGTTGACTCGTTTCGGTCAATTAAAAGTCCATTAGGTGTTGTTGGTGATGATGAGGATGATTGGGATGATGATGAAAAGAGACGAGGATGAACAAGTGATTGATGGTAATGATTATTAACTAAATTAAATGATGAATTGATTGATTCTGTTGATTGTTGTAAATTGGATAATGGACAAGAAGATGTAACATATTGATTATGATGATGGTGATTAAGTTGATTAAGTTGATTAACGTTAATTGGTTGATGAAGGTGATGATGAAGATGATGATGATTGTTTAAAGGTAAATTGATTGAAATTGATTCACTTGATTCAGTTATTAGTTTTGATTGTTGACAGTTTGGTGATGATTGGGTTGATGATGAGAGATCGAGAAAGACGAGAAAGAAAGAGACGAGAAAGAAAGAGACGAGAAAGAAAGAGACGAGAAAGAAAGAGACGAGAAAGAAAGAGACGAGAAAGAAAGAGAAAGAGAAAGAGAAAGAGAAAGAGAAAGAGAAAGAGAAAGAGAAAGAGAAAGAGAAAGAGAAAGAGAAAGAGAAAGAGAAAGAGAAAGAGAAAGAGAAAGAGAAAGAGAAAGAGAAAGAGAAAGAGAAAGAGAAAGAGAAAGAGAAAGAGAAAGAGAAAGAGAAAGAGAAAGAGAAAGAGAAAGAGAAAGAGAAAGAGAAAGAGAAAGAGAAAGAGAAAGAGAAAGAGAAAGAGAAAGAGAAAGAGAAAGAGAAAGAGAAAGAGAAAGAGAAAGAGAAAGAGAAAGAGAAAGAGAAAGAGAAAGAGAAAGAGAAAGAGAAAGAGAAAGAGAAAGAGAAAGAGAAAGAGAAAGAGAAAGAGAAAGAGAAAGAGAAAGAGAAAGAGAAAGAGAAAGAGAAAGAGAAAGAGAAAGAGAAAGAGAAAGAGAAAGAGAAAGAGAAAGAGAAAGAGAAAGAGAAAGAGAAAGAGAAAGAGAAAGAGAAAGAGAAAGAGAAAGAGAAAGAGAAAGAGAAAGAGAAAGAGAAAGAGAAAGAGAAAGAGAAAGAGAAAGAGAAAGAGAAAGAGAAAGAGAAAGAGAAAGAGAAAGAGAAAGAGAAAGAGAAAGAGAAAGAGAAAGAGAAAGAGAAAGAGAAAGAGAAAGAGAAAGAGAAAGAGAAAGAGAAAGAGAAAGAGAAAGAGAAAGAGAAAGAGAAAGAGAAAGAGAAAGAGAAAGAGAAAGAGAAAGAGAAAGAGAAAGAGAAAGAGAAAGAGAAAGAGAAAGAGAAAGAGAAAGAGAAAGAGAAAGAGAAAGAGAAAGAGAAAGAGAAAGAGAAAGAGAAAGAGAAAGAGAAAGAGAAAGAGAAAGAGAAAGAGAAAGAGCAAGAGAAAGAGAAGAGACGAGAAAGAAAGAGACGAGAAAGAAAGAGACGAGAAAGAAAGAGACGAGAAAGAAAGAGACGAGAAAGAAAGAGACGAGAAAGAAAGAGACGAGAAAGAAAGAGATTAAGTTGATTAAGTTGATTAACGTTAATTGGTTGATGAAGGTGATGATGAAGATGATGATGATTGTTTAAAGGTAAATTGATTGAAATTGATTCACTTGATTCAGTTATTAGTTTTGATTGTTGACAGTTTGGTGATGATTGGGTTGATGATGAGGATTTTAATTTGTTGTTAATTGTTGATGATTTAGATGATGATGATGGTGAGATAAATAATGATGACATGGTATTTAAAGGTGAAGATAAATAATCATTATGATGATAATTAGTTACAGTGATTTTTGATGATGATAAATTGGATTGATTTGTAATCAACTGATTACTACAATTGATTTTAATTTCATCCGATGATTGTTTCAATTGTTGATCTGGTTCATAATCCCATGGACGGAATATCTCCTTCGAGGTAGATCTTAATTTGGACATAATTGTTTGATTAACTGATCAACAATTTAAATTGTTCTCAATTTAGTTAGTGATAATTTTTCAATTGTATTTACATATAAACACCTTAGCACTTGGACATTAAGACGACGATTAATGAATGGGACCCGATATAGTGTCTTACCAAAATGGCCTCATCATTTAGGGGATAGAGAGACTATGGAGAGATAGATAGAGAGAGATGGAGGATAAGGATGATAGGAGATGATGATGATTATGAGAGAGGAGAGTATGCACCGGACACCCTGTTGATGGGGTGTGAATAAAGGCATTGCCAAAGTATCATTGGTTAACTAATAAGCGATGTTACCTAATGATCAATGATTAGGTTTTTGTGAGGTGGACTCGACGGGGACACTTGGTTAATACCACCCAGTTACAGCGGTCATCATCATCTTCATCATCCTCATCATCTCCCGCTCCATCATCATCATCGCCATCTTATCATCCTCAGAGCTCAGGTAATAATAAGAAAAAAATCTACCTACACCCAACAATTTGATCGGTTTACAACCCATATTCATGTTCCTCTACTAGCCCACCCACCCCTTAAGACACCTTGCCCTCCTCTCTCTCTCTTTAGCATCCTCATCATCTTCCTCTTTGAAGCCTCTTTCTTCTCATCATTTCTACTCTTTCTTTTTTTCACCTAAAACATAAAAAAAAACTTCATCTTCTTAATCAAAGCTTCCTTTTTTTGCCTCATCAAATATTCATCTCCATCCTCATCTTCACACCCCTCTCATCACCATTTACTCTCTCTCTCTCTCTCTCTCTCTCTCTCTCTCTCTCTCTCACCAAAATCATCTTCATTATTTACCTTATTTCCTATGAATTTTTTTCCTCCTCCATCTTCAAAGTCATTTAGTGTCCTCATCATTATCATTAACTGATTGGCTTTTACAATTAGGAGGAAATGAGCAAAATTGATTGTGAATAATTTTCTTTCAACTTTAAAAATCAATTGAAAACAAATTTTTACTTTTTTTAGCAATTAACAACATAACAGCTAATCAACACCACTATGATTAACCAAAACGTTATCAATAATTTAAATAATCTCAATATGATTAAAAGAAAAATCATCTTCAGGTATCACTTATATTAATTTCGTTACTGATTTAATAACAGGATGATAATTGTAATGATAATGTTCACTTACCTTATTCAATAATTGATAACATTTAATATAATCTGTAATTCATCTTACCTTGTTAACTCAGTTTGATATCAATGATAATAACGAAGAGGACGAGAGAGAGAGAGAGAGAGAGAGAGAGAGAGATGATGATGATGATGATGATAAAGATGAAGATGATGATGATATCCTGCTGATCTCGTCCAATCCTTGGTACCTCGAAATAGTCTTAAGATTTTTGTTTACGAAAAACTTTTTTCTCTTTTACATTTTTACCTTTGAAACGAACCTTCATTTGTCTACCTTTTGTCTTAGCCTTTCATTCATTTGGTGATTGATTATCATCTTCATCACTTTCGCATCTTCATCTTAGGTACCAACCCAAGAGCATCATCATCATCATGCTTAATCTCAGATTAAGGTGTTTTCCTCAAATAAACATTGAAATAATATTCCAAATGAATTTGAAATGATTCAAGTTAATCAATATCACTCCAACTAATAATTGATAATCATTTTTTTCTTCTTGTAAACACAAAAATAGGTAGATCATCATCTCCATCTCCATCTTCATCCTCATCATCATAATCATCTCTCTATTTAAATACCTTAATTACTGATGATGAGGAAAAACGCTCATTAGAATAACTTTTTTTTTCTAAAAAAACAAATTCTCAATCTCTTTTGCATATTAACTAAATCATTTACTTTACATCTCGCCCTCAGGTAACCTTGTATTCATCATCATCATCATCATCATCATGATAATCTTAATCATTGATACAATTTGTAATTTAAATTGACACTTAATATAAACTGATCTTGTTAATTTAATTTATTGATATCAACATTTGGTAAATGAGCCAAAAAAAAGTCTAATCTGACAATATGAAGTGCTAAATGGTTGTGAAAATTAATTCTGACAATCAATAGATATTAAATTTTTGATCCTAATCAACTTGTTGATAACAAGGGTGGTCAGTTGGGTGGTCAACAATAACCATAAAACTGTTAACATAACTGTTAATAATACATCATGAGCCAAATGATGATGATGATGATGATTGAATCTCACCTCTCAATTAAACGTTAAATTAACATAACAATCAGTATAATCTAATTGTATTGTGAAATGGGAAGCAAAAAAAAACATGGCAACCATGATGATGATAATTAACCGGAAAGATGATGAAAAGATGAGGATAAACTATCCAAATTTAGGTAATAATAATAATCATGATTATGATCATTTTAAATTCATCACAATCAGTAAATAGCTTTTTTTGAATGTAACCACAGCGGGAAATTGATGGCCACACACAATCCCACCCGGTGGTCAGTCTCATAAGATGATGATAACTACACCTTAACCCCTCTCTCTCACTCTCTCACTCTCTCTCTCTCTCCCTTAACTAACCCACCATCACTCATATACACTCAACAATTAAATTACAATTTGTGTATCATTGGCACGAGTGATAATCATCATGAAAAACGGGTAAATTGTTATCATCAGAAGGATAATGATTAACATGATAACTCACACAATCAACCCCCACAAAATCAGTTAATCATCATCATGACACTCATGCAACATTTTAATTGCTATCAGAAAATTAAAAATTAACTTCACTTTTGATACAATCAAACTCATGTTACTGAACTTTCAATCAACAACAAATCTTAATTGTTCATTTCACTTTCTCGTGATTTAGGTTAATTTTTACCTTATTATTATTATTATTTACCTTTTCTCCTTACTAATCATCAATTAAATCATTTATAGTATTATGATTGTATAAATTATGTATAAATATACACATAATCTAATCCTTTAAGTTAATTGTCATCATCATGATTAGTATTCAATTCAGTTTGACTTTTATTGAATTCTGTTTTTCATATATTCACTTTTTATTGGTTTCGCTTTTTTTTTCCTTAATTGTTGTCAACAATTTAAGTTTTTTCTTTCTCTCTTTTTTTTATTGTGTGTAAATCTTTATGTGAATTTATATTTTTATTACCAATTGATTATCATCATCATGATTAACAAATAATTGGAATCAAATAATTAGTTTCTCTCTTCAAGTAATTTATGATTTCTAATCATTCAAATGCTAATACGTGTTTAGATTATGTTATTACCTTTTTTCTTTGCTTTTAACCATTGATTATCTTACAAGGTTAAATTGTAATCCACTTCCATGGAAAGATTAATTTTATTAGTTAATTGTTCCGATATAAGTTCACATTGAAGATTAACAAAAAAACGAAAAATAAATTCAAAACTTTTTAGTTCCAACGGGAGACAATAGATGTCACTAGTTTAGAACTTTTTGTTTTCCTCTTAAATGTTTTCGCTTTCGGTTTTTAATTGTTACGTTTTAAAATTTTACTTTGTTGATTGTTTCGTCTTTTAAATAATTTAATTGACTAATTATGGATTGTACACCGAGAGTAACTGTCCAGCAGATGAAGGATATGATTGGTAAAACTGTGATCCAATTGGGTAAAATTAAAGCGGTGAGTTGATTTGGTTTGTTGTTTTGATTACTCGAAAAGTTTGACATGACAATTAACTTGTAATTTGATTTGTCTGTTTGATTATCAGGTTGAATTAAGATTAAAACGAATCCGGGTTGTTGATTGTTCCAATTCAAATTTGATAATATTCGTTAAAAATATTGAAAATGAACAACATTTTTCTCAGGTAAGTTTTCTGATTCATTTTCTAATGGATAGAAAAAGCTATTGATTTGAAAATAGCTTCTTTCAAATTGTGACAATCAAAATTTGTCCACAATAATTTACTGATCGTGATGATTAATGTTATTTCTCATTAGATACGAGATCAATTGTCTAACAATTTATGGGTCGAGGTGAAAGGTAAAGTCATTGGAATGGGGGCCATGGATGCTGAGTGTGTTTATCTACAACGGACAAAATTGTTTGATAATTTTGATGTTGATTGTTACACGAGAGCAGTTAAAATCTCTAATGATTCCCAGGTAATTGAATATTTAGCTGTTGACGATAAAATTCAGCATCATGGTTCCCTTGGTGATTCGATACAATTGATTGATTGTGATGGCGAGGATTTTGATGTTTTCCCATTGGAATCGGAAATTTTTCTTAACCTTTAAAAGCAAAACAATTGACCATTTCCAAAGATAAACAAACGACTTATACAAAAATTTGACCTAAGAAAATGATCTAATATAAATATAAATATAAATATGTACAGTTCTAAATTGTGTAATAAACAATTTAGATTGAATTAAAGGATAGAATCACGAAGACAAAATGAAAATGAGAGAAAATTTTAACGATAAGAAAACAAAATTGTCATTTGTATATTTTTCCATCAGTTTGAATGATATAAATAGCAAGAGAAAAATTTGATTACCATTAATTATCATAGGTAAAGTTGTATTAGAACATCACTAACGGCAGCGGTGGTTAAAGTACCTAAATCGGTGTGAAGAAGAGTAATATATTTCGGTGGAGTATAATCAACAAGTGGACAGAAATCATCGACAGTACCACTTTTCCGACGGACTCTTTTATCGGTTCCCCTGATGGGCTGAGGTATATCGGCTTGATTAAGTGGATAATGACGGATGAACTTGTAACTTTCAGCTAATACATATAATGGTTTGTTAAAGGCTTTCGCACACAAGGCCAACGGATAAGTGCCAATTTTATTGATAATGCCACCGTTTTCAACAACACCATCGGCACCAACCATAACCATGTCAACCTTTTCAATGAAATGACCGATAGCAGCGTCCAAGATGAGTGAACATTGAATATCGTGGGATTTCAACTGGTTATACATTTTTTCACCGCTATTATCAGGAGCTGATTTAGTTACATAAACACAGAAACGTTTTCCTAAATTCTTTACAAATAACAGAGTATCCAAAACAACAGGGGAATATGAGTGAACCAGGATATTGGAACCTTCGTAAATGAATGGGTGACCATATTTGACGATTTTCTGAGAACAATTGACCACTTTCTCTAGGAATAAATTGCCACGTTTTTTCAGTGCTTCTCGGACTTCATCTATTAACTGTTGAAAAGAATAGAAAAAAAAATGGTTTCTAATTGTTGGAGAAGCGAAAAAATTTAACCAAGAAAAACATACCTGATACTCTGCTACTGTTAATGTTATAAAACGTAAGAAAATCTCTGAAAGAGATTCAACTTCAATCAAGGGTTCAATTGATTCAAGGGATTCGATTACTTTTGTAATCTTTACACTAAATTCTTGAAGAGTTGATGCTAAAAAGAATGGGAAAATAAACAATTAAGAAAAATTATAGAAAAGAATAAAAAAATTAAACTAATTCAACACTTACAATTATCCGTTTCCAGAATATGAATCAGAGTTTTACATGTTGCCAAGGCTGGAGAAGCAGATGAAACCTTTGTTTTCTCATAGATTTGTGACAGTTCAGCGTCTATGGAATAGAAATACAATTAGTTGAACAGTTTAATTGCGAAAGTAATTAAAAAAATTACCTGAAAGATTCATGGTGATTAAATTAATTGACAAGAAACAAACACTCAAACAGCGATCCGGTTAAGAGGAAATCGGCTGGAAAACCATATGACCAACAAGCCAACGCCGAGCTGATTGGAAAGAAATCTAATCAGCTATTGATTAAATTAATGGAAACTGTAAATTTAATTAACCTTAAACTGTTGTAATTAACCATAATCGCCACCAAATGAACCAAAAAAATTTACAATCACAATTAAGAATCAGACCAAAGAGAAAAGAAAAATTTTCTTCTCCAAAATGGTTGACATATTAAGACGATTGTTGTTAACTGTGATTCATTTTAATCGATTAACTTGGACGAATATAATTAACCAAAAAGAATGAATAATTAATGAGGAAAAAATTCGATGATTAACTTTAATCAAAATCCTTAAAAGGAAAATCAGTTGGATGGAATCAAAGTTAAGCCGATAAATGAACATTCGGTTTGTTTACATTTTCTATTCTCTTCAATTGGTAAACAGAATTTTTTTTTCCATTTTTGTTGATTGTTTTTTTTTCTTCTCTTTCTAAATTAACTGATTTTCTTGATAATTTTAATTCTATTTTAATTTGTTTTCATATTCTTTTGTCTCTTAAAACGATTATCTTAATTACTCTACAATTTCTTAAACCATCACAATGAGACTCACATAGATTGTCAATAGAAAATGTAAATTAATCTCTTTTGTTTTTCTATTCTCATGATAATGTTGATGTGGATCATTTCATTTCTTTATTGTTATAATCACACTTTCTAATTAAAGGTAAGAAGAGTTTAATAGATTTACATCAATTTCTATTCTATAACTTAAATTTTAATTGATTTCTTCTCATTAAATAGATAAAAGTGAATCAGTAACAATCTACATAATGTGATAGATGATTCAATCTACTCTTTGATGGTAAAATCTCATCTCTAGAATAACATTAATTGTACAAATTGGAAGGAAACAATTGGACAATGGAATTGAATAATCTTTGGATATTTTTAACTATAATTGTGCTTCTTAATTTAACCTTTGGTGGTTTATTTTCAATCATTCTACTGGTGTTGGTACTTTTCTGTTCCTATGCTATAAGTAAATTGTGTTTAACCTCCAACAATCAATCGTTAATTAGACAAATTATCTGGTCTGGATTAATGGAAACATTTAATGGGCCAGGAAGAGGTCATTCTAAAGGATTAAAGGATAGATTGGAACGAGAGAGAATTTTAAAATTTCTCATTTCTCGGGAAAAAGATGAAACCAATTTCTGTCTAACCTGTCAGGAGAGACGCTGTTTACGCCATGGGTCCGAGGTTAAGGTTGGCCTTTTTCCCGAACGACGAATTTTAATCAATTCTTGTTTAAATCAACTTCTCATGGAAAATATTAACCTTTGTCTGGAAGATGTTGATAGTCTTAAAAACAATGAGACACTTTGTTTGGAGGTTCGAAGGTGTATCTCATTTGTAATTGGAAATCTGATCACTCGAATGAGAATCAATGTTAATTCAACTGATTTTATCTCTAAACGATTGTCAACCTCAATTGTTCAGCATTTATATTTTTTCCTTGCGGGTAAACGCCAATCAAGATCAGCTTATTTTATCAAGGAACAAGTAATCAAAGTTTACCAAGAAAAAGGTTATTACTGTGATTCAAATCATTTACATTCCATGGTTAAAGCCTGTCATCATTTAATTATATCTCCAACTCTATTGTCCAATTCAACATTAGCCCTTTTCTCACTTGAATTAATTGTTAATTGTGTCTTAGAACCATTTCTGGATCTCATCGCTAATCCATATTATTTTAATACCTTAATTATTGTACTACTTGAAGGAATATCAAATGTAAATTCAATCAATTGCAAATCAGCTGATAATCATCATCATCACGATGAAAGTAACAATTTGCCATCATCATCATCATCATCACCTTCATTATTATTATCGTCATCATCATCGTTATCACATGAACATAATCAACAACAATCAACTTCCAAAATGGACTCACTTGACCAATTGTTGGACAATTTTTCTAAACCATTGAAACAATTAAATGGCGAAGATAATTGTTTAGGCCTTTCTTTGAAAGAGATAATTAAAGATGAACAATTATTGTTTATCTTTATGCAATATCTTAAAGAAGAAGGTGCTGTTAATTTATTACAATTTCTACTCTCAGTTGATGCATTTAATTGTCGACTATTGAAACCTGATCTAATTGAAGAAGAGAAAATTGATTTAACTAAAGAATTGGAGCTTTTATGGAAAGAATATTTTGCCGAGGAAAGTGGTGATTATATTCATTTTCATGATGAAACAATAAGAAAATCATTGGAGGAAATAATTATCGAGAAGAAAGAAATTGTCCTTCTACAAAAAAGTGACCCACTGTACAAAGCTTACGATCAAGTGTACAATACAATTGATCGTGTTTATCTGCCACTATTTACCGAGTCATCTCTTTACTTTAAGCTAATTGCTGGATCAAGGATTAATCAGTCTGCCTCATTTGATACCAATGATGGTGATAATTTATCACTTTCTAGTCAAATATCATCGATTCCGGAAAGTTCAAGGAAAAATTTCAATCCAAGTGGAGGTGATGATGGATCAAGAGATTCAATTAAAGAAGAGGATGAAATTAAAGCTAAAGAGGATATTCAAGTGATCCATGATTTAAGTTCATGGCAAGTGAAAGTTGATCGAGTTGAGAAACGAGTTAAAAGTGAATTTGATGATGAAGAAATTGCTGATGATGAGGAAGATCGTCTTATATTTGCGATTAAAGTTGACGATGTAAAAGGTGAATCAAATTGGGAAATTCAACGAGAATTTGATGAGTTTCATGTTCTACAGTCAAAATTACGCCAATTCCATGGGACAATCAAAGGAATCGACATTCAATTGCCCAAGAAACGATTTAATCTACTTTCAAGTTGTTCCTATTTTCCAGTTACTCAGACTAATATCTCATTCCTCGAGGGTCACATGGGTGATCTTCAAAATTTCCTGGAGACACTTCTTGCCAATCCCGCTTTACAATTTTCCTCACTGTTACATTCATTTCTAAAACCCTCCGCTTCATCTAATCAATTTAATTCCACTTCGGTTGATTTTCGTAAAATGATGAGAAATTTAAATTCCACCTTTTCTCTTAAAGGTGGAACTGACCTTCGAACGTCCCTTCAACCCTTTATTCTGAACTTTTTAGGGTCAACTGAAAACAAACGTAACCCAATTGACACCAATAAGGAAACACCACCACCACCGCCAACGCCAACATCAACAATTAACTCACAAGGAATTAAAAGTAATTCAAATAGTTTTGAAGATGCTCTTGATCCAATTGAAATTAGCACAATCAATGAAACAATTTCAAACACTAACGATACAAATACTACAATGGACATTGGAGATGGACAAGGAAATACCCTGTATGAGTTAATCATGTTCATCATGAATAGTATTTATGATTTAGATGAAACAAATTCAACGGCTTATTACCTGTTACAATTAATTGAACCGATTGCAAAGGAATCGATTCAATCGGTTATGACCAAATTGTTGGAACTTGAATTATCTCATGTTGTTACTCTCGAAAATTGTGTACTTGCTCTTGAGACTTTGAAGGAAACTTTGATCGCTCGAAAATCTCCTCGAGATGTGGGGGAGGAGGAGAAACTTCGTAAACTTCGAGAAAGGGAAGCGCTAAAAGCGATTCAGGCCAAATTGAATTATATTCCATTCACACCTTCGTCACTTTCTTTTCACCTTTATTATTGTTTCCAATTTCCTTCGTTGAACAAACAGTTTCTGTATTTGATTCTTAATCAATTGTTTCTCCTTTTGTTTCCTGAAATTTTCCCCCCAAATAATTAGATGATTAAGTTTAATTGTTGTTCCTTTTTGCTTCTCATATCATTATGATTCCATTATTTTTCCTTATTAAAAAATGTAAATTCTAGAGTTGATATAAGTCAATAAATTTAATATATTAACACTTTTAATTGGTGTTGATTGATTTTTGTTGTGAAATGAGTCATTTAATTTGCTAAATGCATTTTTACATATTTAGATTCATTTGTTTACAAGGCTTCCAGATGACAGAACTCATCTAACGAGAATTGATAACAATTATTGTAGTGTTTTTGTTGATAATATTTGCTATTTTTCAACAGTAACAGTACATTTTATATGGTGAATTTTTGTTTATAGTTGTTATTTTGTCATTGGTGTGACTTAGAAAGAAAGAGAAAGCAAAAAAAGAAATGAACTGAAAAACGATGTAAATAAAATGCGAATGAAAGAGAAATGAAAAGGTAAACATCCAAAAAGGGTTAAAAAAGGGGGATGAATCATGATTGATGTTCTTTATGGTGTTGATCGGCATCAATGGGCTCTGCCTAGTGGATGGATTTTGGTGTTAAGAATAAAACCAATGATTCGTTTGCTTGATTTGCACAAAATAAGAGATGGAAAAGACAGATTAACATTATGGATGCAGCGTAGATGTGATGACGTTGATGGAAAATACAACAAGATGCAGAAGATGAGGAAAAGATGAATGGTTGTTGTTGGTCTTTTATGTGCGTGTGACAAATGATGTTAATTCAAGATGTAAATATGATGATCATCAAAAGATGTTGATAAAAACGGTAACTTTTCACGTTATATTTACATGATCGTCCAAAAAATGACCGATGAAAAGTATGACCTTCAATAAGTGTTTCCTAGCGATAATTATGCAACAGGTTATCTTTTCTTCCGTTCTGATGTACACTTTGGACAGAACCATTTTCCTTTAGGTTTGTTTATTAGGTTAACACAAGTAAAGTGAAACCATTCAATTGGACAATCAGGATTGTCACATCCGATCATCTCTCCATAGGAAACTTGGTGACAGATACAATAAGTTGGCTCATTTGGATCGACTGGCATATCAAGAACATCAGTACTTCCGGTGATCGAGGCTAAAAGAGATGTTTCTGCACCGAGAACACTTAAAGTTGTAACTGGATCTTCTGAGAATTTCTGTTTCTTTCGGCCACCTCCTTTTTCCAGGTCATTTTTGTTAATATTTTTCTTACCCAATGCGGAAGTTTTATTCTTTCCTTTGGCAAACTCTTTACGTCCTCGTTTTTTACCATTCTCAATAGATCCACCAGTGGATTTAAACAAGATTTTCTCTTTCAATTCAGCTTCTAATTTCAATAGTTCTGAATCCAGTCTTCTTATGTGTTTATCGATCATTTCATAGGTTTGCATAGCTAATTGGACTTTATCATCGCTCAATGATCTTGCCTCTTCAAATTTACATCGGATCTCTTTGAAAGTTTCACCTTTTTCTCGATTGTTAAGATCATTTACACTGTTAAGGTAACTTTCTGAAACGTTATTAATTCTTTTGATCAATTCTTTAAAAAAGAAAGAAAATGAAAAAAAAGAAGAAAAAAGGTAAGAACGAGATTAGTATAAGAACAAGTTGATTCATAAAAATGAAACATGACAAACAGGTGATCAAGAACGAAAAAAATCAGAACGAGAACAAGTAAATGGAAAACGTCGGATATCATTAATTGATAAAGGACTTGAAGATAATCAGAGTAGAATGTTATCAAAATGATTTGAAAAGATGATTTTCTATGATAAATATTGACATTTTCATAGATAGAGAGCTAATTACTTTCCAAGTTCTATAATAGAAAATGAAAAATTATCTCTAACGGATATGTGGAGTATGAGATATTTATAAAATCCCCAATTTTTAAAGTAAAATTACCTTGAGTTCGCAAGTCCAAATCTCGCATAAGAGTGAAGTTCCTTTGTAGATCAGCGGGTAAGGCATCCAGACCTGTTTTACCAATTATGTGGGTGTATATTCGAGAAACAGTTGGTGAGAATAAAAACAAATTCATTGGTGTTTGCGTTGATGATGATAAGCGACAGGGAAAAGGGATGGATAGAGGCAACAACAAAAAAAAGAGAAGAAAGGATAAAAGTAATAAAAGATTGCATTACACATATACGAGATGGAGAGAAGAATAATTAAACAGTAGAAGTTAAGACAAGTCAAGAGAGAGAGAGAGAGAGAGAGTCACGAGCACAGAAAGAGAATCAGCGAGACGAGAGAGAGAGAGAGAGAGACAAAAATTGATAAAGAAAGATAGAAGAAAGAAGATGAAGATTGGAGGGAAACGTCAAGTCAAGTACAAGTGTCAATGATATTGATAGAAGAAGAAAAATATACACATAATATAAATGGAAAAGATAGAGAAAGAAGAGAGAGAAAAAAAATGGGAGAATTTGATTTAATTCTCTTGATAAAATCTCTGGCTCTTGCTAAAATTTTGGTATAACAACTATGATGATGGTGTTTTTTTCTCTTTCAATCTTTCTCATGCTATATTTCAGCTAAAGCCTGAAAATCATGATTTGTAGACTCAGAGGTAGAGAAAGGGAAAGAAAAAGAAAGAGATGAAATCACTCCTTCATGGTAAATAGTGAATTCTATCCAATGTAATATTACATTAAAAATAGAGAAAAAGAGAAAGGGAGATGATATTTTACTTCTTTTCAACTCACTTTCTAAAAATTGTTCCAAATAAGACATAGCCATGATTCTAATTGATGTTGTGATGATAATTGATGAGATTGATAGAAAATATAATAAACTAATCAAAAGTAAATTAACAGAAACATAAATTAATTAAGAGAATTGTTATTGAATTAAATAAAATGGAGAGAGAGAGAAAGTAAAGAGAAAGAAAGAGAGAGATGAGAAAAAGAGCGAACAAGATGAAAGAGAAAAAAAGAAAAAGAGAGAAAACGATATTCGATACATCGATGTAATAATCGATGTTCTGTCTTTTGGTCGAGTTAAATTTTTCATTTTCTCAACTTTTTCTTAGTCTCTTAACCTTTTAATCATCAGCGAATTTAAATTAATTTAAACTGATTGCAATCTCGTGTTGTTAACAATCATCTAATCTATTGGACAACCTCTACTTTTAAAGATAAATTTTCCTGGGAAAATTTCTGTTTGGTTTCCAAAAATGGGTAAATACTTACAGACATTTTACTTGGATTGTTTTTTATAAATTGTAAATATGATGTTTCCATTTCTTTTGTGACTTTTAGTGAGATAGACTTTTTAAAATCTTTTCCAATTGTTATCTCCATGGTCATGGGTTATCAAAATGTCATCCAGAAGGGTTCCAATTGTTTGGTTTAAGCTGATCCGGTTTAACTTGATGAGGACGAAGTGTAAAATCAAAAAAGCGACTCTCCATGATTATATGGGATAAATTATCTGATTGACCAACTGCAAGGAACATATTCTAAGAAAAATGAAGATAGTCATCTAGTGAATTGTTTCTCACCATAAAAAATAACTGAATAAACCATGATGACAAATATGACAAAGATGAAAAATCAAAACAATATCAGCAGATCCATCATTCAATAAGAAGTTAACTCTATGATTGGATTGAGGAATTTTTGAAACGAAATCAAGAAGAACAATGATGAGAATTCATGTCAATCCAATTCTCGCTGCAAACCTCAAGCCATAAATTGAGCGAAAAAAAAACACCACCAAGACATTTGACTGAGCCACCAAATCATGGTCACAATTAGATGACCAAAATCGTCCATCTACGATTTGGATCGTTTCCTCATCTCTTTATTTTGGCTCATTAATTTTTCACAGATTCCATTGTTTCCCTTATCCCAATTAGACAATTAAAGATATTCTGTAAATATTCTTCTCTATTCTAAGAAACTCAACTTTCGATTAAATCAATTAATAATTGCGAACATTTTGAATTAATTAAAATGGAGAATAATGAAAATGGAGAAAGAGATGAGAAAAAAAGAGCGAACAAAATAAAAGAAAAAGAAAAAGAGAGAAAACGATATTCGATACATCGATGTAATAATCGATGTTCTGTCTTTTGGTCGAGTTAAATTTTTCATTTTCTCAACTTTTTCTTAGTCTCTTAACCTTTTAATCATCAGCGAATTTAAATTAATTTAAACTGATTGCAATCTCGTGTTGTTAACAATCATCTAATCTATTGGACAACCTCTACTTTTAAAGATAAATTTTCCTGGGAAAATTTCTGTTTGTTTCAAAATGGGTAAATACTTACAGACATTTTACTTGGATTGTTTTTTATAAATTGTAAATATGATGTTTCCATTTCTTTTGTGACTTTTAGTGAGATAGACTTTTTAAAATCTTTTCCAATTGTTATCTCCATGGTCATGGGTTATCAAAATGTCATCCAGAAGGGTTCCAATTGTTTGGTTTAAGCTGATCCGGTTTAACTTGATGAGGACGAAGTGTAAAATCAAAAAAGCGACTCTCCATGATTATATGGGATAAATTATCTGATTGACCAACTGCAAGGAACATATTCTAAGAAAAATGAAGATAGTCATCTAGTGAATTGTTTCTCACCATAAAAAATAACTGAATAAACCATGATGACAAATATGAAAGATCAAAACAATATCAGCAGATCCATCACTCAATGAGAAGTTATCTAATTCTATGATTGGATTAAGGAATTTTTGAAACGAAATCAAGAAGAACAAGGATGAAAATTCATGTCAATCCAATTCTCGCTGCAAACCTCAAGCCATAAATTGAGCGAAAAAAACACCACCAAGACATTTGACTGAGCCACCAAATCATGGTCACAATTAGATGACCAAAATCGTCCATCTATGATTTGGATCATTTCCTCATCTCTTTATTTTGGCTCATTAATTTTTCACAGATTCCATTGTTTCCCTTATCCCAATCAGACAATTAAAGATATTCTGTAAATATTCTTCTCTATTCTAAGAAACTCAACTCTCGATTAAATCAATTCATAATTGCGAACATTTTGAATTAATTAAAATGGAGAATAATGAAAATGGAGAAAGAGATGAGAAAAAAAGAGCGAACAAAATAAAAGAAAAGAAAAAAGAGAGAAAACGATACTCGATAGATCGATAAGATAATCGATGTTCTCTCGATATCGAAAAAAAGAGAGACTGAGAAAGAGAAAATAGAAAGGGAAAAGTATCGGTTAGTCAAGTTTAATTTTGGATTTTGTTGGTAAGTTTTTCTCTGTCTTTGCCTTTTATCCATCAGCGAATTTAATTAATTTTAATTGATTAAACTCTAATTACTAACAATCATTTAATCTGAAGCATTAGTTATCGATGGATTCAAATGATAATCTTTCTAGAGATTGGATGGTGAACCGAAATGTAATCAAATTACTTATTGATTAAACCCAAGTTTTGTGAATTTATTATTATTTTGTTTTCAACGTATTTGTTTCATCACATGCAAAAGATAAATTATATTAATTAATTGATTAATTAAATAGTTTGTTATACATTATTTTTTTGTGAGGTGAAAGGGGTTACGATGAAAGGGAAAATTCAAAGTACGTTTTTAGTTTTATCGTAACGAGAGAGATAATTTATATTGACACACGTTTAGAATAAATTTTTTGTTGTTTCCCTTTGATACTGTAGTTTGCTGGTTATTGGAAATTGATGATGTTGATTGTTGATAATCTCAGTCGATATGGTAAATCAACAATAAAACCAAAAAAAGAACTTCAAGGCCAAAAGAGAATAAAAATTATTCTCTTTTGAGAACATTATCTCTTGTGTAATAGTGATTACATTTCTTTGTCATTACCATTTCATCAGAAGATGAACATTTTAAACAGAATTAATCATAACCACAAGTAGTTATCTTCTTGTTTCCATTCTCATAATCACAATTATCATCATGATCAAGTGAAAATTCTACTGTTTTTTTTTCTCTTTTTTCATTTTGTTCTCTTTTTCCATTTTCTTTTCTCTCTCTCTCTCTCAGTCTCACTCATTTCCTTCGTTCTACTTTCATTACCCTCCATTCACCTAATGTACTGATCATGTCTTTTTCCACTTACAGATCCTTTCAATTCGCCTGTCAATTGCTTATTTATTGTACTACAGCATTTGGATTGTAACATTCACACACCATACACCATATTTACCACCACACACCCACCTCTTCACTCTCTCTCTCTCTCTCTCTCTCTCTCTCTCTCTCTCCTTTTCTCTGTCTATTACACATCTGATTGTGAAAGGAAAGAAAAAGAAAGAGGAAAACTGACTCACAAATCTCACTTGCATTCACCATGTTGATTATTTATCTTGGTTAATTGATCTTCGCTGTTATTTGGAATATTGTTTTCTCTACAATCATGGTTACTTCATTTGGATCGATTGGTTGAACATAATTGTTGATTTTAAATTAATCAATGGTCAATATTAATTCTCATTCTCTTGTGTCTCTCCGATGTCTTTGATTGTGATTATTGTTCCAATACATTTATAATTTTCTCTCTCAATTGTGATGGAGGTTCTTTTTACTCCTGATTATTTCATCTTCAGACGAGGTGACACTAGTCTATGGTTCAAACGTGCTAATAATTACGATACAAAGGCAATACTCAAATCAGGTAATTACTGATTATTTGATTAGTAAATATTCACTTTCCATTATCTTATCGATTTAACTTGATTATCTCTAAAACCTACTTACATATTTTATTGATTATCTTTTTCTGTTTATTTGTTGTTTTTTTCTGCCTCTAATTGTTGTTGACTTTTTGTTACTCTTTTTGATTGTTTTGATCCATTTACATGTATGTTTTATTGTTCTAATTGACTTTCTATTATTTTTTTTGTTTGTGTTTGTGTGTAATTAACAGGTTATGATTTCAATCAACTATCCAATTTCACTTGCCTTGGATTGGCTCATGGATTAATTGGTAAATTTGGTCATGATAATTTAATTATTATTCGTCAAAATCAATGTGTTGGAATAATTCCCGGGGTTAAAGGATCGGAACATGAAGTGTACCGTGTTAAAAGAATTGCAATAATCCAATTAAACGATGTAGATCCAGTTCCAAGTGAGATATGCCTTGAACCGTGTACCCTTCATGATAATAATCCATTGACTGGAATCCCGAGTACCCTTGAAACTAGTTGTACTTCTATAGATGATGGAATTGAAAATCAATCATCTGCAGCTAATCTCAGTCATTCTCCAAGTTCTGGTGCTATTGGTGCAGCTTCTAACACCGGCGTTGGTGGAAATAACACCGGAGCTGCTCTTAAAACATGGAATTCAATTAAAAGCGCAACATCTTCCGTTAAATCAGGAGGTAATCTGAACAAAAGTCCTCGCGGTAGTTTTGCTCCGGGTAAAGAAAAAGGTGAACGACGGCTAATCAATGAAGTTCTTAAAATGTTCAACAATACAGACTCATTTTACTATTCACCAACCGGCGATATTTCAAATAGTATTCAAATGAAACACGTTAAAGCCGAAGGTGATAAACAAGAAACACCAGAGACAACTACTCCCACTCCCGCCGAGATTATCAATGATTCGACTACTTCTGCCACCACCTCCATTGATGAGAAGGATAAAAATCACCTTTGGGATGAATTTGATAGTAGATTTATTTGGAATCGTTTCATGATTGATTCATTAATTGCCGAGTGTGAACCAAATATTATCCAGTTACCTGATCTCAATTTTTGGATCGTTCCAGTGATTCAAGGATTTTTTCAAAGTGAAACTTGTTACATTGATGGTGACAAATCAGACGACAGTGATTTAGAATTTCGAGAATATCAAATGATATTAATCTCACGCAGATCAAGATTTCGAGCCGGAACTCGATATAAAAGACGAGGTTTAGATGAGGACGGGAACTGTGCAAATTATGTAGAAACAGAACAAATCTTTAGGTACGGAACTCATGTGGTCTCTTTTGTTCAAGTTCGAGGGTCAGTACCAATATTCTGGAGCCAACCTGGACACGCTTATCGTCCACCACCTCGACTTGATCGATCAGAAGACGAGACCCAGAAAGCATTTGAAACCCATTTTCAGAAAGAGTTTAAAATTTATGGCCGAGAAGTGATTATCAACCTGATTGAACGTTGGGGCCGTGAACGAGTTGTCGGTGAATCTTATTTGAATCATACGATTAATTTTGATTCACCTCAATTAACTTACGTTTCTTTTGATTTCCATGAAAGATGGTAAGCAATTGACCCTTCATAATTTACATTTAATCCCTTTTCATCTCATTGTTATTCATGCACCAAGACTAACGCGATTCATTGGATCAGAATTTATTTTTTTCTTTCTTTCTTTCAATATAATCAATGGACTTGATTTTTCTCTAGTTTTTCACCTTCACCTTTATCATCCATTTCTCTCTCTCTCTCTCTCTCTCTTCTTCCTTCCAACCAACTCTTTCCATTTTTCCCACTCTCCATGTTATTCCTTGTATTAGTTACATTTCTTTCATTCTTCACGCATATACAGAATCATATTGTTTCCTCCTCCATCCTTGTGATTATTCACTTTTTTACCTGTTCATTTAGTTCTGTCAAAGATTATTATCACTTCTCTACTCTCTCTCTCTCTCTCCCACATTAATAGATAAAAATAGCATCATCTCACCTCCCACATTATGGTCAATCATTTATTATCCAACTTGAAACTGACCTTTCGACCAATGTTTATCTTAATAACTTTTACACTTTCAAAAGTAACATACGAACAAAAAATTTACCTATCAACTAATTTAATGATCTAATCAATAATTCATTTCTACTCACATTTATTAATTATACTATCTATCCTCATCATTTCAACACACCTACACTTGACTAATTCACCTTTTCGTGTAACAATTAAATTAAGTAACAATTTGATTAGAAAGCTTTTCACTCCTTCAAGTAACATTTAGAGAAACGATTAAAATTTAATTTCTACTCCACATATTATCATGAATGATAAGATCTCTTTTCCTCCCTCTCATTAAATCTGATTTAATTCTCAATTAAACTCTTTCGTTCGTCAATTGTTTCACAATTAAATTACATCATTTTATTATTTCTATTTCTATTTATCATTTTAATTGATTTTCTCTATTTTCTACTGTTTTTTATCTTTAGTCGTGGAATGAAATTTGAAAATGTTTCAATTCTAATTTCGAGTATCAAAGATATAATTCGAGATATGAAATACTGTTGGATTGATGATCAGGGTGTAATCCAGTTCCAAGATGGTGTATTTAGAGTTAATTGTATTGATTGTCTTGATCGGACAAATATCGCACAAACTGCCATTGCTCGTACCGTTATGGATACTCAGGTAAACTTTGCGTTAATTAACATCAACGATTAAGTCTTACAATTAACTTCCTTATTTTCATCTTCTCAGTTCTCAAAACTTGGTGTCTTATGTCCAGATAGTGAGCTACCTGCCAATTGTCGTCGTATTTTTCAAATAATGTGGGCCAATAACGGTGATTCAATCAGTCGACAATATGCCGGTACCAATGCCCTTAAAGGTGATTACACTCGAACTGGTGAAAGACGATTTGCCGGTATGGTTAAAGATAGTTACAATTCTGCATCAAGATACTTACAGAATCGTTTCAAAGATGCTTATCGACAAGCAGCTATTGATACAATGCAGGGTAACCCGATAAGTGATACTGACCTTCGAAGTCCAGATAGTGAGAATGTTTATGGTGATGACGAGGACGAGGAAGACATTGAACATCATGAAAGAGTTAAACAAGTAATCGAAGATTGTAAGAAAATACTTATACCCGAAAATGAGGTTATTTTAGGCGGATGGCCATTAATCGATGCCGAACCCTCAAACTCTGAAAGTTCAAATCAATCGTCCATGGAAATGGACACTGTATTAATATTAACCAAAGATTGCTACTATGTAGCAGAATATGATGATCAAACTGATAGAATTACAAAGTACCAAAAAGTATTATTAGAAGATTTAGAGAAGATCGAATTTGGACCCGAACCTGGTGCTCAGCTTCTCTTTTCATCTCTTTCCTCGAAATTACAGAAACAAAGCTACTGTATTCGATTCCAATACCTAATCAATGGTCAGAGTGGTTATTTCCACATGTTTCGACCAACAAACACCCGATTCTTCAATAACATGGCAATACCAGTGAGAACATCTCAAGAATCAATTGACTCCCTCAAAGCAATTTGCGAATCATTTAAAGTTGCTCTTTGTGTTAAATCGTTAAATGTTCCACTTTACGAAGGTCGATTAGAAAAAAGAAAAAGTAAAACTGTTTCGTTTTCAAGTAAACAGCCCACAATCCACGGGAATTTACAACCTCGAAAGGTGCGACACTATACACATTCCTCTTCGATTTCAAAAGGATCTTCTAGTTTATTGCCTCGAAATATTTCAGATGGTAATTTGTTGAACTTGAAAAACGTTGGCTCTCGAGCTTTGAATAATGTATCTTGTCAATTGGCTCGTTTCAAGGGTAAATTAACTGGTAACGCACGAAGTAATCCCCATCTTGCCCTGGGTACAGTTAGTGAGCAGCGTCTTGAGTCAATTCAATCGTTTGGTGGAGTAGCTACTTCAATCGCTTCCTCAGAGGAAGATATTTATGATGATGAATGGGAAGGAGCGGTCACAACAGGCGATATATCCGAGGACGAATCACTTAGAAAATCTAATCGAACCAATCGATTGATTCGAGATCAACAAGCAAGTATTGCCTCGAATGCATCATCTGTCTTCCTCACCGAACGGACACTTTCCTCTGACTACTCTGAATGCAGTGATTTGGAAGATACCGATGACGCTGTTTTAAGCTCATTGTGTGAGGAGCCTCGATCACTACCTTATAAAAGTGCGGCCGCTCTTTCATTGGCTGGAAACGACACTCTACTCGAAAGCTGTGGTATACTAACTATTAGTCCTCCCTTGAAACCTGATTACGATGAACATGGTAACCTCGATGAGACCACTAAGCACAGAGGCAGAAATCGTAAATCACTTTTGAAAGATGTTGACGATTTTGTTATCGACGCTATGAACAAAGCTGGACTCAAACAGCTTCATCGTAAAGCATCAGAAAGTTTGACATCTCTCCCGTTGAGAGGCAAATATCCTTCACTTTCATTATCTTCGACATCAACTCAACTGCACCAAACTCGAGCACCACAAATTGAAATCTCAGACTCGACTGGTGGCTCCGAAATGAATCCTCCTTCTCCACCAAGCCAACCGAGAACACGAAAATTGTCAAAATCATCAGAAGATATCGAGACTTTGGATAACTTTTGTACCAAAAATTTGGGGAATACAAGTAGTGCTTCTTGTGCCGCACTTTCTGGTTTACCTTCAGAAGAAAATCTACTCACCGACGATTCACAGGAAACACAATCATCATCAATCAAATCTTCGTCTACTCTTCAAATAAGTTCAGTTAAGATGAAACAATCTCACAGTGAGATGGCTCTTGGTCAAGATAATCGATTGGCACTAAATATTAACAATTCTTCAAATGCATCGGCAAATCCACTTTCGTCGCCAATTTTGATGAAAAAAGATCTCATCTTATCGCCCATTTCACGAATAGCTAAGGGCGTACATTCCTTCGGACTCAATCTAAGGTCACACTATTCTAGTGAAACAGCTAATACCCAAGCGTTTGATCCCAAATCGTGTGGAAAAAATTACGAAAAAACAACAATTATTTTCATCTAATCAGCACAGTGTGTTCAGTGAACACCATGGAACAAAAAATCAAGATTTAAAATTGACTCACCTAAAAATCAAAAGTCTATGATTAACTTATTGTCTCCCAATTACTATCCTAATTATCATCATTAATTTAAATCATCTTTCATTCAAATCAAATTCACAATTCCAATGAATATAACGCTTAATTGTCTCATCTTTCTGTAAAATTTGCTACCTTTAATTTTTTCCTGGTTGTTTTTGTTTTTTCCTTGATTTCCAAATCGTTTGATCCCCTGTAAAGATAATTACTTATCTTGATGAGAATCTCAAATTTATGAACAGACACAATTACCTAAGAAAAAAATCATTTTCTCTAATAAGTGTAATAAGGAGAAGCGAAACCGAATCCTTGAGGCGTTTTGTTAATTAAACAATGACAGATTTTACTATCAACCATAACCGATAAAGCAAATTGTCCATTTCACTTTTTCTGATGAGAAAGGGGCTTTTTGTATTAATCATTTCTAACGATTCAGCCTTGAGAGTTTCATTTAATTTAATATGAGCTTCAAGAATAGCGATTGTCTCATTGATCGCTTTCAACGATTGACAAAAGTGATACAAATCTTGATAGGAATCCATGATTGATTATTCACAGGTTGATTCAATCGACTAACAATAAGGAAAATGCCAACTCACAATTAACAAGAAACAAACATAAATGAGGTAAGAAAATTAAATTAAGTGCAAAAAACGTAACCAAATCATATGATAGTATCGATTTTGCTTCGATCGAGTTGACATCTCGAGTCTTACCTATTTTTTTTGTGAGGTGAAAGGGAAAATTCAAAATACGCTTTTAGTTTTATCGTAACGAGAGAGAGAGAGATAATTTATATTGACACACGTTTAGAATAAATTTTTTGTTGTTTTGCTTTGATACTGTAGTTTGCTGGTTGTTGGAAATTGATGATGTTGATTATTGATAATCTCAGTCGATATGGTAAATCAACAATAAAAGAGGTGCAGAGAAGGAAGAATAAATCAATAACTTTTTCACTGTTTTTAAAATTAAATATAAATAACCATTTTTTGAGATAATCTCCTTGTTTTTTTTGTTGCTTTAGTTTTTCAATCCAAGTGTATAGAGAATTAGATTATTAATCAGCTAATAGTTAATAATTAAAACTTGCAATGTTGAATCCATTAAGAATTTTCAATTTGGAATTTTTTCGTTCTTCTTTGGATTGAACAATTGTGTATATGTGGTGTGTTTGTGTTTTAGGTTAATATGTGCAAGTGTTTTTTAAGAGAGCGATTTCTCTTCAGGTATGGTGGGTGTAGTAGCGGGTGTAGCTGTTTGAGAGTTTCGTCGTTCACTGTTGAGAGCATCTTCGAAACTGTTGGTACTGTTACTTCTTGAGCCAGTCATTCGATCTTTTAGATTTCCGGTTGCTGAGACAACTCGCTCTTCGAACGATTTAAATGCATTGGAATTTTTCACTTCCCCTAATTTTCGGGCCATACTACCACCAAGACTTCCTAAAACGGATGTTGTCCTTTCACCCACAGTTTTAACAGTCTCGGTGGTTTTTTGATAACTATTTGTACATATGCAAGGGTTAAGGGAGAGAGTGTGTTGATATTTGTTGTAAGTAATGAGAGAGAGAGAGAGAGAGAGAGAGAGAGAGAGAGAGAGAGAGAAATTATCATTAGAATTAGTTGAAATATAAAATTTGTAAAAAAAAAGGAAGATAATGAAAATGAGAAATAATAAAAGAATAGAAAACAAATCGGAAAAGAAAAGAAAAAGCTCACTAATGAGGTGATTCAAGTGATTAAATAAGAGATAGGAATGGAAATGGTGTTAAAAACAAATACAAATAATAAGCTTAATCATTTAGGAGTTGAAATACATGCAGAATCGTTAAACAAATTAGTTAATGAACATACGCAGAGGTTGGAGCTGCTAGTATTCCAAACCCAGAGCTGATGAATTGATAAGAAGAGAAAAGCATGAGAAAGGAAATAATTATTAATTAGCTGATGGTGATGATGACGATTGATGATGATGAGTTATAAAGACTGACAGTTGATAAAACAAAAGTTTTTGTTGGATGAAAAAAGACAGAGAGATTATGGCTGAAGAGAGAGTCAATTAGTCACAATTGTGTTAATCATCAAAGATACACACGAAAATAAAAACAAATACCAATTGATGTTAATTTCATTAATTGGTCGTAAGTAATTGCATTTCAATTATATACTTAGTGTAACATCACAAATGAATTGTGTGAGTTAATTGTCAGGATTTGAAGAGATGGTGATGACGACGAGAAGAAAATAGATTTTGATGACTTGGATTGGATTTACTTACGCTGTGGATTCTTGAATACTTTTAACTCCTTGACCAATATCATCTCGAAATTCTTTCCATACAGAGATGCCGAGTTTCTTTTTCAATTCAGATGAATGGCGTAATTTCGATGAAAGAACTTGTCGCAAGGTTTGAATCTCCTCTTCAGTCTAAAAAGAACAAGAAAGATAAAAAACAAAATTAATTCAAAAGAATAGAAAAACAAAAAGAAACAAGAGCAAAAAGAGAGAGACAAAATGAAAGAGAAAAGAATAACAAAATCCAAGTTTTTATTAATAGTTAATAGAGAAATACTTGGAAAGGTGTTGGAGAAAGGTAATAGAATGAGCAAGACAGAAAGGAAAACAAAACAAAAAAGATAAACAAATGAAAATGATATCAGAAACAAAAGAGACCAAATTGATTAGAAAATGAGAGAGAAACGGAGAAAGAGAGAAAAATTGAAAGAATAGAAAGAGAAAGAAAGAAAGAGAAAGGATAATTGTACGATATTAAGACGGCAGAAAAAGATGCGATGAAGGATGAGGATGGAGAAGAGAAAAAAATTGAAGGATTGAAGAAAAGAAAAAGAAAAAAAGTCAGAGAGAAAAAATAATAATGAATGATGCAGAAGAAAAATGGTTAAAAAGAGAATAGAATAAATTGAAAATTCTAAACTAACCCTTGCCAGTTCTGTTCGCCATTCCTCTTCTAAAGCAGCTTTTTGCTCAGGATCCATGTTGGCAAAATTTGATTCTGTTGTAACGTCAAATGCTTCATCGGAAGCATTGTAAAAGGTGTTATCAGATTGATTGTTATCCTTGGATAAAGACATTATTATATTTCTATCACAACAAAATGATTTTTACTAATCACAAGAGAAAGAAAGAGAGAGAGAGAGACACAAGATCAACGAAAAGAAAACCTAACGAGAGAAGAAAATTATAATAATAATCAGCTCAATATAATAAATAGATAAACAAAAAACAGAAACACTGAAGAGACGAAGATGAGAGAGAAATGAAACTAAATTTTAGTTACTAAAATCAACTGGACAAGAGAATAGAAAATATCGATCACATAGGTAACATCGATTTAGAATATCGATTGAGGTATCGATATATCGAAATTTTGTTCTCTTTCAAAACTGGGAAGAGACATTCGTACGTAAATTATTAGATTCTTACATTAGTATTGATTCAATACTATTGAAGACAAAATTATATGAATAGACTCAACCGTCTTTTGGTCGAGTCAACTTTTTCTTAGTCTCTTAGCCTTTTAGTCATCAGCGAATTTAAATTGATTGCAATCTCGTGTTGTTAACAATCATCTAATCTATTGGACAACCTCTACTTTTAGAGATAAATTTTCCTGGGAAAATTTCTGTTTGGTTTCCAAAAATGGGTAAATACTTAAAGACATTTTACTTGGATTGTTTTTTTATAAATTGTAAATATGATGTTTCCATTTCTTTTGTGACTTTTAGTGAGATGGACTTTTTAAAATCTTTTCCAATAGTTATCTCCATGGTTATGGTTAATCAAAATGTCATCCAGAGGGGTTCCAATCGTTTGGTTTAAGCTGATCCGGTTTAACTTGATGAGGACGAAGTGTAAAATCAAAAAAGAGACTCTCCATGATTATATGGGATAAATTATCTGATTGACCAACTGCAAGGAACATATTCTAAGAAAAATGAAGATAGTCATCTAGTGAATTGTTTCTCACCATAAAAAATAACTGAATAAACCATGATGACAAATATGACAAAGATGAAAAATCAAAACAATATCCGCAGATCCATCACTCAATGAGAAGTTAACTCTATGATTGAATTGAGGAATTTTTGAAACGAAATCGGTAAGACTCAAGATATGTCCGTCAGCTCGATATTTTAACTTTGAGGTGACTTTTTTTCGGCTTAAAGTTCAAGCTACATATGAAAATGGACTTAATTGTTCAGTTAATTGTGTTTGTTTAAATTAGGTTAGGTTAGGTCTTCGCTAATAAGGGTCACCATGACCAAAGAAAGGCCCGGAGGGCCTGAGACAAACCGAACCTTAAGCCGAGAAAAAAATCAGCTGAAAAGTGAAGATATCGAGCTGACGGACATATCTTGAGTCTTACCACGAAATCAATAAGAACAAGGATAAGAATTCATGTCAATCCAATTCTCGCTGCAAACCTCAAGCCATAAATTGAGCGAAAAAAAACACCACCAAGACATTTGACTGAGCCACCAAATCATGGTCACAATTAGATGACCAAAATCGTCCATCTACGATTTGGATCGTTTCCTCATCTCTTTATTTTGGCTCATTAATTTTTCACAGATTCCATTGTTTCCCTTATCCCAATCAGACAATTAAAGATATTCTGTAAATATTCTTCTCTATTCTAAGAAACTCAACTCTCGATTAAATAAATTCATAATTGCGAAAATTTTGAATTTATTAAAATGGAGAATAATGAAAATGGAGAAAGAGATGAGAAAAAAAGAGCGAACAAAATAAAAGAAAAGAAAAAAGAGAGAAAACGATACTCGATAGATCGATAAGATAATCGATGTTCTCTCGATATCGAAAAAAAGAGAGACTGAGAAAGAGAAAATAGAAAGGGAAAAGTATCGGTTAGTCAAGTTTAATTTTGGATTTTGTTGGTAAGTTTTTCTCTGTCTTTGCCTTTTATCCATCAGCGAATTTAATTAATTTTAATTGATTAAACTCTAATTACTAATAATCATCTAATCTACTAGTTAATCTCTTCGTTTTAACGTTTCGTTTCTTTTCATTTTCTCTTAGTGATTAATTTTTGTGGTTCACTTTTTTTGCGGTTCAACCTTTTCATTATTTTTTGTTCTTCTCTCTTTCTTTTTTTCTCCCTCTCTCTCTCTCTCTCTCTCTCTTCTCTTCTTTTTTATTTGGTGAAGTGATTTTTTTCTTCTTCTTTTTCGTATTATCACTTTTTTTTCTCTCTCTCTCGCTCTTACTCTCTGGCATATTTTACCATTAGTGGTGATTAATATTGTCCACATTAGTTCTTCGTCTGTTGTTGGTGTTTTCTACTGCTATTTGAATCGTTTTCCCTCTTTTGGTTTTCTTTTTCTTCACTTACGAGTATCACATGGAGGGGACGAGCGATGAGCCTCTCACTATAAAAACTGTTTCTGGTGGTGTTGGTGAAGAAGATGATCACCAAGAGGCTGGTAAAACAGTCTCTTCTCCTTCTTCTGCAACAACTACAGTCGGTCTTCAACAACAACAAGTACAATCTGGTATTTCCACACAACAAGATAAACCATCTTCTCCATCGTCTCTTAATCAGTCAAATTCTTCAATTGATTTACTTGCTGATGAAAGTATGAATGAAAGTAAAAATTCATCGGCTTCAGAGGATGGTGGTTGTACCAATATTAGTGATAATGTTGCTGGTTCTATCACTTCTTCTACCAATTCTGGTGGGAAAAAGATTAACATTGGCGAGTCAATAGCTGAGCTTGAAAATAATAATAATAATAGTAATAATAAGTCAATTACTTTGCATCCAATAGCAACAACTATAAAAACTTCAGCTACAAACCAAAATGTGGTCACAATACAACCAGTTTCATCTTTAACTCTAACTTCTTCGTCTTCTATTCAACAATCATCTTCTGCAACATTAGTTTCCAAATCTTCATCAGCATCCTCATCTCTTACATCTTCATCTACATCATCGACAACTCTATCAGCAGCAGCAGTATCTTTAGCCTCCAGAACTCATATTATACCGCCAGCCTCAGCTTCTGTATCTTCCGCATTCTCAACAATAGCAGCAACTGTTACCAATCCTATTGCTACGACAACTAGTAATATCATCTCTGTAAATGCAACTTCATCTTCAGCCGTTGCAACATCTACGATACCAAGTACAAATCAGTCTGGTTCTACCAACTCAACAACCACCACCAATCCAACCATCACTGGCTCTGGAAATAAGTTATATCTAATTAACACTCCTAAATTTGATTCGATTAAAATAATTGAATGGAAAGATGGTATTGGTACTCTACCTGGAAGTAAATTAAAATTTAAAGTCAACGAATATGGTACATTGGAAATGCTTTATGATGATGATAAAGTTGGCGATAAATCGATTGTTAAACCTGTCGAATCAGTTAAAGCTCCTGCTGAAAGTAGTAATGGAAGTAACAACAACAACAACAATAATAATAATAATTTATCAATCACCCTACTCGCTGAATGTGTTAATTGTAAAATCAAAGGAGTTAAATCTAATTTTATCAGGAATGGACGTTTTTGTAGTCAAGACTGTGCTACAAAGCAATCAGAGAATTTGAAAATTTTTAGTAAAACCTCAACATCAGCCAACAACAATACAAACAGTAACAGCGCCAATAATTTAAATTATAGTAATTCTAGTAACAATAACAGCAATGTCGTTAAACCTGAATCCGTAAAGAAAAAGATTTTTTATCATGAAGGAAGAATGTACGTCGATATGATTGGTGAAAGGGTAACCATTCGAAAGCCTTTGTTTATTAATCGATCTGATCTCCATGGTACTGGTCGATCTGAAACACCCGATGGTTTGGACCTATTAGATGCCAACGAGGAGATCGAGAACATTGATTCTTTTACTGGGATAAATGTACCACATAAAAAGTTTAATTGGAAAGAATATCTGGAAGATACTAAAAGCTTTTGTGCACCAGTTAAATGTTTCAAAGAAAGTCAATCATTTCCAAGTGTCAAAAATGGTTTTAAAGTTGGAATGAAACTTGAAGGTATTGATCCTCATAATCCTGCTTTATATTGTGTCCTCTCGGTTGCCGAAGTTGTTGGTTTTCGACTTCGTTTACACTTTGATGGTTATCCTGATATTTACGATTTTTGGGTTAACGCTGATTCACCTTTCATTTTCCCCGCTGGTTGGTGCCAAAAAACAGGACGCAAATTAGAATCACCCAAAGATATGTTAGGCACTTTCTCCTGGAATAGTTATCTTCAAACCTCTAAATCTCAGTCAGCGCCAAATTATCTGTTCACATGTGTCAAGCCAAGTTACTCACTGAGTCAATTTAGAGTGGGCATGAGATTGGAAGCCGTTGATAAAGCAAATACCTCACTTGTCTGTGTTGCCAGTGTCGCAGATATTTTGGATAATTATATTTTAGTTCATTTTGATGGTTGGGATGATTCTTATGATTATTGGATCTCCATGTCTTCTCCATACATTCATCCGATAAATTGGTGTCATGAAAGAGGTAAACCTTTAACTCCACCTAAAGATCATCCCAAACAAAGTGAAAAATTTAAATGGGCCGATTATTTGCAAGAGACAAAATCTACAGCAGTTCCACCGAAAGCTTTCCGTTTACGTCAAGCTAATTCATTCCGTGCTGGTATGAAATGTGAAGTGGTCGATAAAAGATATCCCCGATTAATTAGAGTGGCAACCATAGTGGACAGAAGATCTCACAGTGTAAAGATTCACTTTGATGGTTGGCAAGAAAAATTTGATTACTGGTTAGATGATGATTCTTGCGATATCCATCCAGTCAATTGGTGTGCAAAAACCAATCATCCACTTCAACCACCTCCAAATTATTTCCGTAAATATCCAGACTCTATAAATTGTCCAACTCCAGGTTGTCGTGGCTTTGGTAGCATTAAATCAGCTCGATTTTCAACTCACAATACTTTTACCAATTGTCCATATTCCGAGGAAAATATGGAAAGAGAATTACCTGATAGATTTGGCCGTGATTTCTCAGATGAAGAAATGAATCCAAAAAGTCCACTTCAAGGAGAAGAATTGAGCTGCCCACCAAGTCCAACCTCATTTTCCGATTTAAGGCGTAAAAGAAAACGTAAACGAGAAAATTCTGGTTCATCAGCCTCCGATTCTGTTAAAATTTCTCGACCCTCAACACCATCTTCCTCCTTTTTCCATAATAATTTGCAAAACAGTAAACACAATTATTCAGCGACCATATCAACTCTTCACCAAGCCATATATTCACTACGAATGAATCCACAACAAACCAATGAAACCCCAATGGCATGGGAAAAACACTCTAAAAGCTTATTAAGCTTCGCAGAGAAAGTGAACGCAAGTGAGGTACTTAAATGGACTCCAGATAAAGTTGCTCAATTTGTATCTACAATTCCGGGTTGTCAAGATTTTGGTCAATGTTTCGAGGAAGAGGTAAACCCATTTGTTTCCATGAAAATCTATTTATAAACAATTACATTGAAATTATGAGTTATATTTTATTTTTCTTTTTATTTTTCTTTTTCTTGCCCCTTTAGATAATCGATGGAGAAGCATTTTTACTTCTCAATCAAACTGACCTGGTCACTCATCTTGGTATCAAATTAGGTCCTGCTGTCAAAATTTATAATAGTATTCTGGTTATTCGTGATAACATAGATGCTTAAATCTTAGCCCATTTCTTTTTTTTTTTTCGCTCTCATCATCTCAACTTAACCATCATAACCTTATCTTCAAAACCTACCTTATCACATCTCATAACGGAGAGAGGAGGAGGATCAACAAATCCACAAACAATTAAATATACAACATTCAGATACACAAATTCACACGGAGAAAATGATTTCAATGGCAACCCGTTTCTTTTTTTTTCGTATACCCCAACAAAAAGATAAATAGAATTGGAATCATCGATCGCAAATCTGTTTCTCACCTTTAATCAACAAAAATAATAGTTACCTCTTGGTAAAATTGCAACGTAAATTACTACATACGTCTCGCCTAATTCAAATTATGGCATTATAACGATGATTAGTTAATTGCTCTTCTATTCAATCTCCATGGATCTTAAGCTGCTTCTCTAACTCTCTATTCCACCTTTTTCCTGCTCCTAAAAGACTTTCTCATTTTTTTTTCTTTTTCTTTTCTGCTTGATTATCGAGTTGAATACACAGCTGATTACCCTTTAACTCTCCTTTCACTGTTTAATATGAATCTTAAATCAAATCTTGAAATTCATCTTCACACAAACAAAACTAATTGCTTGTAATAATAATAATAATTGTAACACAAACTACAGCCCAAAATACCCTCACATTCAAGCTTTACTTACATGATTATATTTCCTTTTCCCTCCTTCTCCTTTTTAAATCCGAAGTAACAAATTATTCATCTTCATCTTTGCAACAACCAACAAAAACCTTTAAATGTTAAATATTGTCACCGACGATGAATTTAATTCTGTAATCACAGTTAATAAAACAAATTATAAAGATGATTCATTTTCTAATAACTTTTTTCTTTTCAGCTCCAATTCAAACCTCTAGGATATTCATTCTGATTTCCAATCGTGCTAAATAGAAAATTCAAACTCATTAATCAAAAATCTCTCCGGAAGAAAATCAAACAATCGACCAGTTGAAAAATTCAATTGAAAACAATTAGTTAATTGAAGATAAAAACAAAAACTAATTTTCGAATGTTACATTTTCGCTCCACTAGATGTCACCAGTTTCCTTTTCGTTGATTGGATGAAAAATTTTTAAAAAAGAAAACAAAAAAGTGATTTTTTCTTTAATCAATTTTAATTAGAATAATTAATTGATTGTTTTTTTTCTGTTTAATCGATTATCGAATCTTTTGTTTTCTCTTCTTATTAACTAATTGTTCTCTTATCTTGCTAACATCAGTGAAAGTGTCAAACTGATGACATTGGATTTTAATCTTTTCGTTATTTTCTGGTGAATTACAATTTAACCCAAACGACTTTGATTGTTACAATTTAGCTGTTTGTTTACTTTGCTCTTCACTTTTTATTATTATTTTTATCTCTCTCCCTCTCTTATATTTTTACACTATTTGCTTTGTTCCGATGATAATAGAAATGTTGTTATCGTATTAATTGAAAACGATAGTCAACAATATGATGATTGATCTGATTACATGGACACAAACACTAATTACAAACTTTGGACCAGTTAATTTAACACTTTAATATATATTGAAGGATTGATTGATTATATTTACCAATAACCAAAATGCCAATAAAGAGCTGATACTAGGATAGTGTTACTGTTATTATCCAAGTTAATATCATGGATCTACATGGAAAAGACAAATACAATAAATCAGCATCTGAATCAATATACCGAATACAAGGAAATATCTCCTTTTAACCTTCCCTTTGATTAATCATTCATCATAACCTATTCTCTCTCTCTCTCTCTCTCTCTCTCCACCACCTTAATCTCCATTGTTACACATTAACAATGATGAAAAGTTTCCATAGGTAAGTAGTAAAACCTTAATGAAATCTATTTTTTGTTGATTATCTCTTTTATCACCATCATCATACATTATAAATTGATTGATATCAGATTCATCCCAAAATTGATCATCATTGATAATAGAAACCTTTTTTTACTCTCTCATTTTTCAACAGGATAACTTTGCTGAAAGAAGATAAAGAAAACAAGCTTATATATATGGAGTAAGAAGATCAAGAATGATGATGATGATGATGATCACCAATCAACAATGAAAAAAGAGAACAAATCAACCCTGAAAAGATGAAGAAAGAGTTTACATGAAAGAATAATCAACAATCAACGACAGAGAGAAACCAAATGATTTGCTAATATTTACTGATTAGAATGAAACTTTTTACTGCTTCAATCGACAATAAATAACCATGGAAATGGAGGGAAAAAAAGAAGATCTAAAATTAGCGCTAAACGAACCATAATTTGGATCTCAATTGATTAATCCAACAGAATCAATCTAATCAAGTTAACCAAATACACAATGATCATGATCACGTCGAAAAGTATGAAATATCCAAAGGGTCGAGTAAAAAATGAACGAGAAAAAGCAAAATTGTCAACACAACAAGAAATTCTTATCCATTTTTTTTTCTTCTTCTTCTCTTTTTCTATTAGGATCTGATGTCTCTATTTTATCCCATTATCGTGATATTATCGTTTCACTCTCACTCTATTATTATCATCCTCATCTCTACCCCCGTCATGATGATCCTGAATGTTTACTCAACAATTGTATCTCCACCATAGGGTTTGGACTTACACGAAAAAAGCAATGTTTATATAGATGATGAGGAAAACAAAGTTACACTTACATTATATTCACTCTTGTTGAAGTTTTCCCTGTTTCTTTATCATGTCAAACTATTACAACGATTGTGAAAGCATAAAGAATGGACTAAATCAACAGACACCAATCATCATATTCACACTCTCGGTATAATCATGATGATAATCATGATGATGACCATCACCACTAATCATCATGATCCACCTAAATCATTGCTATTCACAAAGATAATAACTTTGTAACCTTTTTTTTACACCAAATGATAATAATACAAACATAATATTGTCATTAAGTTTGTTATCATATTCATACTAATTTATTTACTCAATGATAACAACTTATTGTTAGATTCATTCAATTGTATTTGGATCATATTTTTTTTTTACTATTAACTCTCTACCTTGTTAATAATGTTTCTCATTCAATTTTAATGAATTGATCAGTAACAAGGATATTATCACTTTAATCGTCTAATTGTTTGCTAATTGTAAACATTACGGTCGTTAATTATCAACTACCAATCTATTTATAGCCTAATTGTTGTTGTACATTTGAATTGAGTCAAAAAAATTGTTATTAATTTTACTAATTTTCAATTTACCATAGTGATTAGTTGTAATTACTTTTGGTTGATTAATCAAAGGTATTCATTTTGATCATCAAGGAAAATTAACCTTCCGATTAGTTTAATTTAGATTATCATTGATCTTAATCATGGGTTTATTTTAATTGTTGGAAAGTTGAAACAATTAAATCAATGTAATGAATTACATTGAAAATAATTCCATCAGTTAATTGATTTGCTTGTATTAAGGATTATGACCGATAATTGAACATCATTATTAACTTAATTGTACTGATTATTATATTACAATTAACTGATTTCTCTGTATTACAATTAAATCTCTGGAAACTACTGAAACCTTTTTGTTTTCATAGGAAAACAAATTGATTAAATTGAACGATTAACTAAATCAAATGATAGTAAAAACTAATTAACAAAACAGTTTGATTGTTGTTTTGTTGATAATCAATTTTAATCATGAGACACAAATTAAATTGCTCAATAATTAAACATTGACATTGACAAGGGAGGTCCTGAATTATTGTCCTTGATAATTGCGTTAACTATTTGTGAAACAATTAAATTAATTATCAACAATTGTAAATGAAAACTATCCCATAGACAAATAGAAACACATGATTGTGATAAAAGAAAACAATTAATAATCATAACGAAGATTAATTGGTGAAGATGAACAATCAAAATGCAAAATTAAAACACACAGAGAGAAAGTTAATTCTAACAATTAATTGTTATTCGATAAGATTATAATTGTAACTGATTAAATCAACAATTGAAAACTATTCTGGTTAAATTGGGTCACAATCATGATTAATAATCAAGAGAAATTTTTTTTTTGGTAGTAGCAATTAACTAATTGTTGATGATTTAGTTTAACCCGGAAAATTGAATGAAAGGTATTTCACCAACGATCAACTGATTAAACTTTGCATGGGAAAGTTGATTATTAATTATTAATGATAATCAACAATGAACAATTAATTAATCGCTATGAGAAAAAAATAAATCATCTTTTCCGGGTTTTGTTTCTTAATAACAATTAGTTTTAAGTACAAATATTTGTGTGATTAGAAAATTAAATCGTAGTTATAAATTTCCAAGTTATTATTTGATTGTATCAACAATCAATAATTAATTGAAGGTCAAGATTAAGTTAATTGTGATCAACACTTACATTTACTGGGAATACACAATTTTCATTGTAACGCCTTTTTAATGATAACGATAATTAATAAAAGACAAACAAATAAATCAACAATTACCAATTGTAATTTAAACTGTCACCTCAATCAGTTATTTCAATGAGCAATTAACAAGTTAATTGTTGTTTAATTTCATCTAATTATAAAAGTAAATCAATTGTCAACTTGATCCTCTTTTCTGTTAATACATTTACATAAAGTTTTTTTTTCAATTCTAATCATGAATTTATTGTTAATTTTGAGCCTTTTATCGTTGACCTTTGTTCAAAGTTGCTTGACCAAGTCAATTGCAGTTGAAAAAGAGATAACCTATGACCTGGACATTTTGTACCGCGAAAAATGGAGGCCACAATATCATTATTCACCGCCGACCGGTTGGCTTAACGATCCCAATGGTTGTATTTACAAGGATGGTAAATATCATTTATTTTTCCAATACAGTCCAGGAACTTTGAACGCCAAGTCCATGCACTGGGGTCACGCAGTGTCCGAGGACTTGTTACACTGGGACAGTTTACCAGTGGCCGTTTTTCCCGACATTGACGGAGCCGCTTTCTCTGGTAGTGCCATTATTGACTCTACAAACGCGACTGGACTACAGGTAAGAACGGAGGAACTAGTGATCAGATTAGATGAGATTTGATGAAGTTCTAAGTAACTTGAATGATTTGAAAATTTTTGTTTTCGATTTTCGATTTTGTGATTTTTCTTTTTGAACTTTTTTCTATTCTTTTTTTCTGTTGTTCTTTGTAGAAAGAGGGTGATGGCGATTTAATGGTGATAATATTCACACGAGGAACTCCTTCTTATTCAATTCCTCAGCGACAGTTTTTGGCCTACTCATCGGATGACATTCATTTCCAAGTCTATGAACATAATCCTATTCTTGTCGATCTCGCTGAGGTTCATTATCGTGACCCACAGATGATTGTTTATGACGATCATTGGATAATGTCATTGGCTGTTGGTAATTACTCAAATTTTACAATTCAACTGATTTAATTCACTGGAATTTAATGAGTCGCTTTGGAGGTGATCCTATGGAGGGATCGCACGCTGGTGTCTGGGAATGTCCAGCACTTATGCGCTATTATATCGATGGTATGGAACTTTGGATTCTATTGATTAGTATTAACCCCGGTGGACCAAATGGTGGATCAGCTACTCAATATTTCATTGGTACTTTCGATGGGAAAAAGTTTGTCAATCGATATCCTCCTGAACGAGTTCTTTGGATGGACTGGGGTCCCGATAATTATGCTGCCGCTTTATTTGCAAATTCCCCTCGTTCCAAACCAACGATCATCTCATGGATGAACAATTGGGTCTATGGTCAAGAGCAAACAACCACACCCTGGAGAGGACAAACAAGTATCCCTCGAACCATTGATATCGTTAAAGTTGGTGAAGATGATTACCAAGCGACAACTTTCCCGATCGAGGAAACATTTACCCTTCACGATTCAGTTTTACACCAAAGTGAACCGGATAAAAGTTCATTGGAAATTCCCTTCAACTCTGAGCATTTTCACCTTGAAGCTAAAATCAGTTCAAATTCATCAAGTTTCACTGGACTTGTGATGAAATTATCAAATGAAAATACTAATGAATGGGTAACCATGAGTATCAAAGGTCAAGACATTGAAATTAATCGAAGTGTTTCCGGTGTTATCGCTAACGAAGCATTCGCTAAAATTATCATAGGATCTCGAGTTCTTTCCTCACCCGAAATGACAGTTGACCTTTTCTTTGATTCATCGGCAGTTGAACTTTTCCTCGACAAAGGATTGACCGATCTTTCCTACTTAGTCTTCCCTAATCAACCTTATGACCTCTTCTCATTTGAATGTACCGATTGTACCGTTAAATCAGTAACAATTTACCAAATGAAATCAGTTTGGAATCAACCATCACCTCCACCACCACCAACAACAACAACTTCATCACTCTAATTGTGTACAATTTATAATCAATTTCATCACTACTTACTAATTAACTCTGTAAAATTAACATAAAGAATTGAAAATAAACAAAATTCACCAAAAAAAACTCGAGCCTCATAATAATTACAATTCAATAAAATCGGAAGACCTTAATTACAACTTAAATCTTGTAAATAAAGTAACAGTTAATTGTAATTAACTTTCATCTGTTTTAACAACCAGGCTGAACTTGATTCTTAATGTTTACAATCGTATTACTTTATCAAAGTTAATTGTATTTAAATCAATCATTTTGACAAGATGATGATTAGTGTTGATTGTCAAAGTTTTGATTGTTAATTGTTTCATCACATGGTAAATAAATCAAATTTTGGGAAATACCTTAACTACTGATTAGTTTAATTAATTGGTTGTGACAAAAAAATATTATTGATCAATTAATAATCAATCATCTTGTGATCATTACAATTTAATTAATTTACTTTGTTTTTTTTCCTGGTTGATAATTGTAATCAAATCCATAAAAATGATTTATCATTAATCAATGATTAACAAATGACCGGATAATAATTAACTTTAACCCAAGTTCCCAATCAAATTGAGGATAAGGTAAAACAATTAGCGTTTCAATTAACAATCAATTAATCTAATTGTATACAGATAATACTCACAATCAATAATTGAAACATCATAAGACATATTTGATTATCATTAACACACACACACAATTAGTTTTAACTGATTGTGATTAAGTTAATCAATGAGCTTACATAATTGAATAAGCAGATTCAAACAATTTCAACAATCAAATGATGATTAAATTGATAAAATTATCAAATTAATTAAAGCAAACCCTAGACAATTAAAACATTGATCAAATCTAATTGTGATATAATCAAGTTGAATTGAATTTTTATCCCAACATCAAATCAATAGAATCAATCAAATAAAGTAAAAATTAACCACAATTAAACTGATTAACAATTAGAATCAGATTAAATTGTTCCTTCCGCATTTGGTGAATATCGTAAAAAAAAATTAACCACAACAATTAACCATAATAATAATAATACACAGGTAATATATTATTACTCATATGATAAGTTATCAATGTCATAAAGTCTGACAATTTAACTCCACCTATTTAATTACCTGTTGATTAAAGTGGGTGGGGTGGTGGTGTTTACATGGTGGAAGTGGGTTTTCATGATGAGACTCACCAATCAAATGAATCAACTGAATTCATATATAAGTAAGTATCATAAAAGAAACAGGTAACTCACTCACCTGAATATATGGTTGATATGAAAGTTTTATGATTACAATTAGTTAATTACTACTGATAAATAAATAAACGATAATAGTTTTGTTTTTATAACATTGTTATGAATGAAAAAATAAAACCAAATTAATTTAATTGAAAAGGAAAACCAAACAAGACAATTAAAACTTATTTCCAACATCTTAACAATTTATGATTAATGTTTTGTTTTTGTAACAATTAACTTAACCAAGTTTACACTTTGATTTACAACCACGAGAGGGAAAAGCATCCAACTGATTGTCTTTATAATTATTCACCTTTAATTACCATGAAATTAACATGTAATAATTTCATTTCTTCATCATCATCATTGATATCGACATCAAAATTATCCATTCACAATTTAGTTAATCTAATCAGCGTGTTGATTGTTTTAATTTCACTGGAAATCAATTCAATCATGTCAATGGATCCTCTTGTTGTCGATGGTATTACAATTGATAAGGATACCCTGTATAAGGAAAAATGGAGGCCACAGTTTCACTTTTCACCTCCAACCTCTTGGATAAATGATCCAAATGGATTGACCTACAAGGATGGTCAGTATCATTTGTTTTTCCAATACCATCCAGGGTCAGTTGTCTGGGGACCAATGCACTGGGGTCACGCAGTTTCAACTGACCTTTTACATTGGGACAATTTACCGATCGCCTTATATCCCAATAAGGACGGAACAGTTTTCTCTGGAAGTGCAATCGTTGATTCAACTAATGTCACCGGACTTCAGGTAAGAAGATAAACAAAAATGACCAATAAGATTTTTTCCTCAATCATGATCATTGTATCAATAACAATATCGATAAGTTATCATTTCATTTGATTCATTTGTCTCCAAGAAAGAGAGATAGAAACTGAATAACATTGTAATCAATGTACTATCGCAACTTAATTCAATTGACAATAGTAAATTGGTTCCATTGATCAATTGACTGAATCATAATCGATTTTTTCATCTTCTCATCCAAGGTTATCTTCATCTTTATCTTCATCCTTTTTACCATATCTAATACATTAAGTTAATCCCAATTGGTAAACTTTTTGTTTCCTTTTTCAGTAAATTAACTTAACCCTTTCTCTTCAAATCTACTGATTAAGATTATTATGTTATCAATATATTAATTTCAATTAGGTTTCTCATGATAAACTCAACCTTTCATGAGATTTATTTATATTTTTCCTATTGAATTATTCAAAAGCAACAGATTAATAACATTCACTTAATTTGATTTAACTAAATCAACAATTTACTTTTTATTATTTTCCTTCCTGATAGTTAGATAAATTTTTATTATTCTTATACTCAGATTCATTAATCTATCCATATAATGATAATGATAAAGATGATGATGATGATGATACTATTGATTGATTGATTAGCTGCAATAAATTTATGATAATTTACAACAATTTACAATTGAATTACTTTAAATTGGTTGATTGTTATTGAGTAAATATTGTAATCACCATCGTAACCATCATTGACAATAGACAAGGTAAACAACCAACTGAATACATTCAATTTAACTATTACAAACAAATGAGATGACAACAATCAGTAAACAATCAAAGGTGATAATCAGTTGTAATTGAATTTTACTCAATTCATCTCGTTCAAAGTAAATTGTTTACAATCAAATTGATTGATTTATTTGAGATCGTGACAACTTTCAAGTCTTAAGATAATCTATCAATTTATAGCCTTTCATTTGGTTGGAATTTAAGATTTTTTTTTTGTCTTCTTCTTATTCATGATAAACAGAAAGACGATAAATCTGATTTACTGATTGCGATATTCACCCGATATAATGAAACCTCACCAACGCCACAGACTCAGCATTTGGCTTATTCACCTGATGGATTAGTTTGGTCTTTATATGATAATAATCCGATTCTGATGGAACAGGGAAAACCTGATTTTCGTGATCCCTCAGTTTCCAGGTATGGAGATGATTTCATCTTAACCTTGGCCGCTGGAGATGAGGCTCGATTTTATAAATCACATAATCTGATCGATTGGGATTATCTAAGTTCATTTGGTTCCAAGCCACGTGAAGGATCACACGCTGGGGTCTGGGAGTGTCCAGCTCTTATTTCACTTGAGGCTAATGGTCAAAAGTTTTGGATCCTATTGATTAGTGTAAATCCCGGTGGACCCAATACTGGTTCGGCTACACAATATTTCATTGGTACTTTTGATGGAACCAAATTTATCAATAAAAATCCATCTGATCGGATCCTCTGGATGGACTGGGGTCCAGATAATTATGCAGCCGCTTTGTATACAAATAGCCCGAGGGATAAGCCAACTCTAATCTCTTGGATGAACAATTGGGATTATGGTGCAAATGAGACAACCAAACCTTGGAGAGGACAAATGACTTTACCTCGATCGGTTGATTTAATTGCAATCAATGGTAATGATTATCATTTATCAACCTTTCCAATTGATGAGATAATTAATTTACATTCATCGTTACTATACACATTTGATGGTGAACCTGAAACTGAATCATTGGCAATTCAACATACATCGGATACTTATCACCTTGAATCAAAATTTAAATTTAAATCATCATCTTTTGGCTCAGTGGTAATTAAATTAACCAATCAAGCTAATGGTGAATATGTTAATATGAAATTGGATAATATGAGAATTGAAATTGATCGATCTCAATCTGGATTAACTAATTTCTCGTCCGATTTTACAAAACTAATTCGAGGTTCTAGAATTTCATCTAATTCTGAACTTTCGGTTGACCTTTTCTTTGATGTTTCATCAGTGGAACTTTTTTTCGACAAAGGATTAACCTCATTTACTTATCTGGTTTATCCTAATCAACCTTACGATTTAATCTCAATTGAATGTACTGATTGTACAATATCATCAATTAACTTATACCAAATGAAATCTATTTGGGACAAGGTAACAACTTTGTGATAATCTAAATTATCTCAAGGTAAATTTTCAGGAATCTCATGAAAAAATTCAACCATTCACAATCAACAAAGATGCAATCGCTTTTAATCAACACTAATCTAAATCCCTTTAATTGTTTCCCTCGCATGTAAACCTAAAAACAAACTAATTAACTGATTGTAACCTCTTTTTCAACCTTGAACCTGTAAAATAAGTGATCGGCTTTGGATTGATAATCTACTGAAAATTGAAAAGAAAAGAAAAGTTCAACCATGAAACTTATATAAATTCACTGAATTGATTTTCTCGTCTAAATTTTCATCAATTGTTACACTTTTTTTTTGTATTCTATTGATTAATAGTCCTAATTTGTTAATCAACTTATCGCAAATAGTTTAACAGTTTGATTGAAAAGCTCATTCATCATGTTCATGACAGTTTATATTCAGAATACTGGGATAAAGTAAATGACACAAATCAGCTGATCAAAATGATGACATTAGTTTTTTGTGGATCATCATCTTTGTAAATCCGATGGGTACAATTATATATCAATGATGGAAGATGATGATGATGATGATAAAGATGATAAAATATATTAATAGTAAGAGGAAAGTGTTTCTCTTATGGAGGAAGAAAAAAAGATCATTAAATCAAAAACCTTTCCAAGCAACAGATTCATCATATTTCTCATCATCTTCAGCATCCTCATCCTTTCCCAATCGATTAGGAATAATAATAATGCTTAACGTTGATAATGTCAGAACAAAAGAAGACGATGATGATAAAAAGGCTTAAAATGATATAATACATGAGGAAACTGATGAAAAGGAGAAGAAAAAAAAATTCGAATGCAAATTGAACATTAGTATTATATTAATATCTTCATGATTCAAACTTTTCTCAGAACTTCATTATCTTCATGTTGCCATCCATTAGTTGACACATTTGAGAATCGACAAAGAAACAAAATGTCTTCCAATGTTTCAGCTTAAAGAAGATTATCAGCTTATCATGATAATAATAACATGGAGCTGAGTGAATAGTGATGAAAGTTCATTGGATAAGATTTTGTTTTCTTTTTGTCAGAAATAAAAAAAAAAGTTCTTATCCAATCAATCATTTTGTTCATCTGATTTATTTCACGATTTTTAACTAATTAGTCTCGATTCTGGTAACTAATAGTTTTAGCTAATTGTTGTTTAATTATGTTTTCAAAAGCTCAATTGCTTCATAATTTATAAAACTAATGAGTTTAGTGATGAAATTACTATTATTAGAATCATAATTTAACTCTCTCTCTCTCTCTCTCTCCGGTCATCTAAATGTGGTTTGTAAATGAAACTGGATTAGTAATTAAGCTTTTATGAATTAATAACTATTGACATTTATTATTAATTGTAATCAATTTTAGTGATAATAATCATAGTAATTGAGTTAATTGTAATGATAATGAACTTGTATTACAACAAATAACATGATAAGTTTTTCTGAGTTTTCAATTGACTTTTTGGTAATAATAGGAAGGAAAATGATAATAACGATATTGATTAATAACATAATTAGATTGTGATTAAGGAAGTGGGTTGTGTGAGTTTGTGGTGAGTTTGGTGGGAGATTGAAAAATAAAAGGATAAGAGGGAGGGCGAAAAAAAATGGAGACAAAATTGGACCAAAAAGTAGATTCAATCACCATGGAAGAAAACAAAAAGTTCTGGTTCCTTGGGTTCGTTTAATGTTCCAGTTTTTTGAGGTTTACTTTGTAATCCTAAGGATTGTGTTAATGGTGATGATGGAAGAGATCAGGATGAAGATGTTGATGAAAAGGACACAATCGTTTATTGTTTTTTCCATCATCATTCTGATCATCATCTATTCTTAGTCTCTCAGTTGGTGGTGGTCATTTAACTGGCATGGGTTCATGATGGATCTTTTTACTTTGGTTTCACTTTCATATGACTTGAGATGCGATTGAATCACCGAGAGCCATTCGGACAGTATCTGAATCTGTATTGTAGGTCACTGAGGTTGGTGCTGCTGAGGTGGGTGTTGTTGGTGGTGAAGTTGCTGCGGTGGGAATAACTTTTCTTACTGTTGTTGTTGGTACTTGGTGATGAATAAGAGGCGTATCAATATGAAAATCAGTCTCACAAATCCCACTCTCCTTTATGGTGGTGGTGGTATTTGTAGTTGTATTTACAATGGTTTCTTGTGGTTTCATTGGTTTAATTAAACTAACGGTCACTTCTGAATCCAATCTAGTTTCCATGGTTAATGGTCTATCATCAAATCCATCATCATCATAATCCTCATGGTGATTTTCATGATCATTATCACCATGATGGGGATAATTGAGGCCGGACTTTTAGAATCACAGGTTCGATGGATAAGCTCATGACCATTACAAGCTTTTTCCAACTTGAACGATCCATTTCCATCATTTCTCCCACTAACACCACCTCCACCTCCTCCTACACTTCGTCCACTTCCTCCGTTTCCTTCAGTGTTTTTAGTTCCATTACCTTGACCTTCGGTCATTATACCTCCACCTCCGACTGAAGTCGCTCGACGAAATGGAAATGGTGGACCCGAATTCGTGTAACAGGGTAGAACTTGCTTAAACTCTTTTCGAAAATTTTCATTCAACCAAGCATACAAAAAGGGATTGTAACAAGTGGACGACATGGCCACCGCGTGGACCAAGAAAAAGAAAGGCTTAAAGTATTCCCATTCACCGGCGGGAATGTAAAAATCGGTAACAAGATTATGGATATTCAAGGGTAACCAGGAGATGCCAAAAATGGCCACCATTGAGATTAACATACGATTAGTACGTTTTGTCCTTTCCCTTTCAATTTCATCTTTTTTAACCGACTTTTCTCCGGGTTTTGATCTTGCTCGATCTCTTAATTTACCACAAACTCGAATGTAACAGAAAGTTATTATGGTAAAAGGAATAACAAACTGTAGTACACTCGTTGAAAAGCCAAAGGCTTTCCTCGATTCTTCTACAGGCCAAAACTCGTCGCACAAATAGTGATCGCCTCTCTCATCACCAACCATTTTGACAAAAAGCCCGTACGGAAGAGTCAATAATGCCGCCGATATCCAGACAAAAGTGATTATTGTTAGGCAAACGTTTATCCTCATTCGAGGTTTAAATGGATAAATGATGACAAAAAAACGATCTATGGCAATGGACATTAAGGTAAACGCTGAGATGTACACGGAGACTCCTTGAGCATATGGGACAAGGTGACACAAAGCCTTACCAAAGACCCACTCTTTGTAAAATATTAGATATAAAGGTGTAATGGGAACGGAAAATATGCAAAGTAGAATGTCCGAAAGAGCGAGATTGGTGATAAACAGATTGGTCACTGTGTGCATTTGCTTATTACGGAAGACAACGTAACAGACCAAAGTGTTACCACAAATACCGATCAGAAAGATGAGAGCATAAAGACAGTAAAAGAAAACTTGAAGAGCGGGTCGGTGTTCAAGATAATCATCGCCCACCGTCCGTTTCATGGGCTTATCAAGGTCAAAATGGAGACTTATGTTATTGGCCAAAGTGTAATTCCGTAAAGTGTATAAAGCATTTGTCGAAAGGTTGTTCAAAAGACCAATATCGATGAAGGATGAATTTTTTATCATCCCGATGATCGTTTGTATCTCATCATTTTCACTGATGGATGATGATGAAGTTGATCCGGTTGTTGATCCTGATGAGGTGGGTGATGAAATTGATGCAGATGAAACTGCACTCATTTGGCTTAATGTTGATGATGAAGATGAGCTCATAATGTAAAAGATGCTCAGCAAAAAGTTCAATGGTTACGATGATTTACAGTTATGATGAGAACGATAAAGATTCAGAGTAAATTCTGGAAATCATGTTGTCGGAGTTTCGTTTTTTTTTGCTAATTTATATCAACTCTTAACTAGATTAACGATTAACAATGATTATGATTATGATGATGGTGATTTCACTTTGATTATCATGACACAGCAAAAGTAATAAATATTATCACTGTTTCTTGATGAGCTCTTGTTGATTTTAATATGAGATGAACATGGAACCGGAAATTAATCGTTCTCTCTTTTTATATTGTTGATTATGTAAAGAAAATGATGATGAGATGGGAAGATGAGAGAAGAATATAATTTATCAGGAAGACGAATGTTTATCTTTTTTTTCTTGGTGCTTTTTTCTTCAATCAGAGATTATCAAGAACACTTAGTAAACTGTAATTACGATGAAGATGATGATGATGATTCTGTTACCATGAGATTTTCACCAAACATGATTACTGATCATTTACAAGGATTCCGATCATTTCGTTTCCTTGTTGGATTTTTTTCCTCTTTTCCATTTCTAAATTGTTGCTCAGTATTTTTTTCTGCTTCATGTTCATCATGATGATGCTCAAGATAATGTCATCATTTTCTTATATCGTCATCATCTCAATTCTTATTATCATCGCTTATCCTCTGTTACCTATTTCCTGTTTTATCTCGTTCGGTGTTGTATTTATATCAATGGTTCCTAATAATGAATCACAGGGAAGAGCATGGAGAATGAGAGAGAGAGAGAGAGAGAGAGAGAGAGAGAGAGAGTTAAGAATTAATAAAATGATGATAAAAAGCAAATCCAATGAAGAGAAAACGGAAATGAGACAGAAATGGAAGAGGAAAATTGCTTTTTAATGATTCCGAGGCAAAGATCATGGAGACTGTTTTACAGAATTTCCTCTATTTCCGGTTCCATTCAGAAATCTTCCTCTTCATATCAATAGAGATAATAATTATCAACAGAAATGTTTGCATTCTTTGAATCATTTTTTTCTTCTTTCAGAACTTTTTTCATTCCCTTTCATTTTCTTATTGTTAATATTTCGCCTCCCAAAATCAATCAGCCAATTCTCTTGTTCTCTTTACATGTGTGACCGGAAATACTACACAAATACCCCTCGCAATAGCCCAATAAGAGACAGCCAAATCTGATTAAAAGTCCAATGAAAAACAAGTCACACCATGGAAACGAAAACAAGAAAAGAAAAACAAAAAGAAACAAAGTATAACATGAAGATACAAAATCCATCAATTTAAATCTCTTTTCAGGAACTTTCAGAACTTTCAGAATTCCAAATAAGAAATTTTATTCTCTCTCTCTCTCTCTTTTACAATGAATATAATAGGATGATAAAGTTTATTATTCTTTCTTTCCTCCTCATTAGCATTAGAACTTTTTTTTTCTCTGTTTACAATTCTACTCCTATTCTTAACTTCTGACATTATCATGCTAAATACATATTCGATATTTTCGTTCGTAATTTATTGCGACAGTAAAACATGTTAATCAAATATAAATTAGACTGCAATTAATATTATTATACAATCAAAAGAATAAAGTTACAAGTTATTAGTTTACATTTATTTATCAATTTCTATCATCCATGATAATTCAGGCCAATTATCATACGATAATAACAGAGATAGTTCCTGAACAGAGTGAACAATATAAATATTATTATAACATATTATATTTTTGTCTTCTTTTAAACAGAATAATAATTATGTTGATGATGCTGATTATCAGGGTAACATCAAGCTCGAAATTTGTTTCATCAAACTGAAAGATAACAGACTGAACTTTTTGGAAGAGAGAGAGAAAAAATTGTTCTGAACTTATCGATTTTGAAGAAGAAAATGAAAATGTATATTTAATAGTGTAATTGTATATATATTTCTTCGTGATAAAGGTCACCTTTGGGTGGACTAAGTGGGAGGAAACAAAGGGATGAACCTCATGGAGGAGCAGAATTGGATGATATTAGATATCATGGAGAAATGAATTGGACAGAAAAAAAATTGTATTCGATTTCCGCATCAGAACTTTTCTCTTCTCGTCTCATTTTCCAATCAATTCACGAATTGTTATTATTCAATATTTGCGAGTAGATGTTCAACAACCAAGTTACCATGATCTCATCGAATCATATTTCCATAATTACCATCCCCTTGAACTTAATCATCAAGAAGGAGAAAGTTAATTGACGTTAATTGATTATCATTAGATTCAGGGAAGGGTTAAGGAAATTGATGATGAACTGAATGTATTATATTGAAACACAATTGGTTAACAGTTTAGCTTTTGAAATTCATTGTGATACAAAAAGTTTTCAAAAGATTCAGAGTCATGATAAATAATCAGATGAACCTTTTCATCTGGTTGGAAAACTTCAATACAATAAATTGAGCTGATATTTACATGAATACACATTCTGATCACCTAAAGTTCATGAGTTTTCATGTATTTTTATACATTTCTATGTGAATGGCATATGAATGAATAAAAATTGTTACATTTTCCAGTCTTTCACTCCCACATGAGTCAAGTATCATGGTGAAAATCAAATAGCATCTTGAGATAAATTATCATTATCATGATTTAAATATTCAATCTCACAGGAAACTCACATAAAGTCACAGCTTGTTACAACATTTATCATGAAAAATGATCTCATGTTAACCAGAATTTTATTTTTCTTCTCGGTAACAACAATAAATCAATTTGAAAGGGTTTCCATTTTCAGGGAAAATTATTGGGAAAAAATCTGAATAAACTTACAAATGTAACAAAACCAGAATATATCATTGACCAGTGGTCACTTTTTGTCGCATCAATGGAGTTTAGTTTCAAAAGAGAAAAGAAGAGAAAGTTTTCCAAGATTTTATCATGAAAGATGAAAAAGAAAATGAACAATAGCAAATATTCATTTAAATTTTAGTTCTTTTTTCAGTAAATTGAAACTATTCATGAAAATGGATAAATTCATGGGATCGAATGAGGTAAAAAATAAAATTCCCTTTTCCGCAAGAAAAAAGTGAAATCATATCTCAAGGTAATATTGAGAATAGAAAATAGTTCCCAAGAATAAGTTTCTTTTTGATCTGAATAACAGAAAAAAGGAGAAAATGAATGAAATATTCAAAAGCTAACATGAACTTTTACCATGAAGTGATTTTGTTTATCGAAAAATATTAATAATGATGTTAATATCTATTTTCCTCTGGCTAATAAAATCTTTCAGTGTTTCTCCCTGAAACCAGAATTTTAAATCAATAAGTTCTGTAGCCATAAAATGAACTTTTCCCTCATATATAACTCAAGAAAGGCCAATATCCTAAACTTATAAAACTTTTAATATCAGCTAATAATAGTTGATGGTAATAATTGGTACTTCGATAACTCAGCAGAATTGCTGATGAATCTGAATCTCTTATTACTGTTTATCGATAAGTTTAATCATAAAAATGTTCAATATAATTTCACATCTTATCACTTATAAATGAATTAATAAATGAATAGTTATTGATACTACGTAAAATATTCAAGTTTCAATGAACTCACGGAAAACCTCATGAAACTCATGCTATCGGTTAGAAATAAGTGAGTTTGAACATTGACCATTCTCCATGTAGATTGTAACTGTTTATCGATTATATTTGAATTCCCATGCAAGTGCTCAGGTATCATTCTGTAATTTTGATATTATTAAAAGGCGAAGGTCGATTTTCATATTAGTTGTATTAATACTATATCGGGAAACTTCAAACTTTTCATGAATTGAATCTCAGAACTTTTATTTCCATCCAATCTCAATTATTTTGGATACAATTTAAAGTCAAATAATATTCATTAGATTTACTAATTCTTATTACACTTAAATTCAATAATGGTGATAAGATTGATTGAATTGGTTATTATTATGAAAGCTACTGAATTGTCATTTGATTACTTTCAATTTTTAGCTAACCAATGTTTCAGATTAAAAGTAATTTCAACATGACACATGGTGATTCATGAATAGAAATGAGTTTTCATTTATATAAAGAATCAAAAAAAAGTTCAGAAAGCTAATAATATCAATCAACTCGTTGATCAGATTAAATTAACTTTAAAATTATTTCATTGTTTTTCAACCTTTTTTCATTATTATTTCAATTTGACACTCAGAGAAAAAGAAAGAGGAAAAAAAGACAATCAGATTGAAAAATATTCTCAAGCTGAAACTGTCATCACTTATCATCATCATCATCATCATCATCGTCATCGTCATCATTGCTAATACAATATAATCATTTAATGCTCAAGATTCTGACAGAGAGGGAATATATTAATATCTCATTCAATGGATGTTATTTATTAATATCATCTCTAAGATGTTGATGATGATGATGAAAATGACGAGAATGAAGATGAGAAAGATAAAAAAGTAAAAGGGAAACTCAAAGGATTAGAGGTTAAGGTGATGAGGATGCCGGTGAGGTGGAAGATGAAAACATGGGCTGTGAGTTTTAATATAATTTTCCCTTAACTTTAAGATTAACTTGAATTATTGATTGTTTACCATTAATCTTTTCACTGATTCTCATGTAAGTGAAATGTAATAATGTGATAACGAGCTTGAAAACTGATGATTATAATTCTGATGCTGATGAGTTGACATTAGACAAAAGAAATGTGAAGATAGATGAATAAAGAAAAGAGCAATTTCTTATTTAGAACTTTTTTTTGCTTATTTCTCCTTTTTTCTCCTCCAAAAAAAGGGAATTATAAACAACGAATGATAAACAAGAGATGGAAATGAAATTTTCATGGTGATTTCTCTTGTTTACTTCTATCCCATAAAAGGGTAAGAATTGATGAGCCTGAACTTTCAGAATCGAATCTAAGTCAAAGTGTAACTGAAAAAAAGCGTAAAACAAGATATTCAGTGAGATTGGAAAAGAAATGGATGAAAATGATGATAAAAAGATGCGGTGGATTAGAATGATGGAAAATGTAAAGGTAAGAATTGAATAATATTTCCTTATCCTCTTAGCATCCTCATCCTTTCGCATTTGTTTCAATCTTTATTCTGATCAAATAGAGTTGGAAAGATATTGGAAATTATAAAAATACATTAGTTTGTAAAAGTGCTGATAAAATTTCATTTTGACCTTTAGGATAATCATATTATCCTAAAACTATCGATGATGGAAAGTGATTGGAAATGGACTTGCTGGACAATTTTATCCAACGGAAACACTTTAAAAATTCATCTTGAAATTTTTTTCTTCTACCGAACTTCCTGAACTTTCATTTACCCAATTTATTTTTTCTTCTTATCACTTGAATCAACATTTCCTTGTAAATTTTTTATCATTATGATTTTATACCGACAACATCACTACAACAACACTTTTTTATAGTTTTAACCTCATCATTTTCATCCTTTATCTTCATCACTTTCATTCATCTTCTTCTTCATATTCCTCCCACTTTCCTTCATCTCTTTTTTTTCCTCACAAGTTTATTTGCTTTTATATGGGAAAAGATTTAACTTTTCTTTCCTTCCTCAAGTTCAGAACTTTTTTCCTCTTCTTATATATAATCGGAACTTTTCCTACTAAGTCGAAATCAAGAAAACTATCAAAAACAGCATCATGACGATGACAGAAAACAGATTAAGGTGATATACTGATTATGATGAGTATGAT